TTATGAGTTGTTACTGTGGTGTCCCAATGTACTGAGATAATTGCACTGGATTGTTTATAGTCTAGTCTTTGTGGATATATTCTAGTTAAACAAAACAACAGCTTAATGTAAACTGTTTAACTCTTTCACTCATGTTTTAGGCCCCTGGCCTAGGAGTAAAAGGGTGACGTCGTCTTTAAACTTTGTTGTGCATTATCTTTAGTTATCAAAATTCAAATAAGTTAAGTAAAAAAAAAATACTGATTTCCAAGTAACGATCTAATGTTAAAAATAATGCTTAGCAGAAACATTTACAGTAAACATAGCTAATTTGCAGCTAGCTGAGAGAGATCACAGAGATAAATTTACAAGTACCCTGTAGTTTCTATTTGCACCTTTTTTTTCCAAATGCAAGCTTTATATTCTTTTTAAGACAGGAAAATTGAGATGATAGAATTATTTATATCTTATTAATATCTATTTTCTGAAAGTCCCTCAGAAACACATGAATAATAAACCAGAAATGGTTGGAACAATAGAAAGCATTCGTACCAGGGTGTAATCCAAATCATCTCTGTACAGAAACACATTAAGCGTCTCTCTCCAAACCCAATTTATTTTGTCCAATAGTTCAGTCAGTAGTAAGCATGAGATAAAGTGCTACTATTCAAACATCAAAACACTTAGAAAAAAAATTACCCTTTAAAATGTGTAAGCTTGCTAAATACAAAATAACACAACCAACAAACTGTCAGCCAGTCCGCGAAACCATTCTAGAAGATTAGAATGATAGATCTTTTAGTGGCAATTTTTTTTTTTAAATGAGGCTACTAGCTCAAAGAAATCAAAAAGTCCAATTTTTTTTGATTGAAAATTTCAGCATTTTTTAGAAAAAGTGATTTATTGCAATTTTTACCATTGAGCTCTCAATGAGCAAAACACGCCAAAGCCAACAGCCAGAGCTTACAGCTTATGCACCAGTTAAAAACTTGTAGCTGGAAAAGCCCTATGAACTGAAAAGATGCACACTTGTGGTAGCAGCCAGCACAGAGGTAAAATCCAGTGATAACAAACTGGCCTCCTTTGCAGACTGCTAAACAAAACGAAAAAAAAAAAAAACAAAACAAAAACCAAACGAGAACAGTTTCAATTGATAACTGCAGTGGGATAACAGAGACTGGACAGAACAGTTATACTGAAACAAACCGACCATTTTCCCCTTGTAACAGCTTCCCAATCACCACTAATTATAATCCCTGCAATTTCATCATGCAAGATCCACGTCTAATCAATGAATATGTTTTTATCAGATTTTGATACTGCATCCTAGCACTAAAAGTAGCAATGAAAAAGAGCTTTTCCAGTCTCAAGACGAAAGGCGGGTACTTAAATTAGCAAATACACCCAGCCAACTGGGGACCTGAGATGTGAGCTACAAAAAGACTACAAGTGACATTAGAGGGCACCATTCCTGTACTTTGCGGAAGTCCAAATATGCAAAATTTTAATTTGGACTGTGACCCAATCCCTCCCTTCATCTTCAGGGCTGAGGGTCTTGAAGATTGCCTGCATAGTGGCTCTACAGTCAAAACAGCATACATACAACCTGCTTTTGCTTGGAAATTGGTGGATCTGTAGAGTTTTTCTCATTTGCTCATGCTAATTCCCCGAGCCATCAAACATCGCCCACACACCTGCACAAGCATAAAAATATCACATAATTCAGGTCCACAGCACACCTGGAGCTCCAGCATCTCTATGCCAGACCTTCCCTACTTCCCGTCTCCCTGGGCAGTGCAACTGCAGCACATCTGCTGCATTTTGGCCCTTCCACGGGTACCACACAGCTTTTTGGAAAGTCTCCACGGAAAGTTGTCGGCTACACGGGTTCCATAACAAACTTCTCATGTTCCTTAATCTCCCAACTGCTTTCTCACCCTTTCTCTAATAGATGGTGTGCCAGACTGTAATCAGATATTCTAGAAGAAGTGTTATTGCTTTATCTATATGGGACATAAGCTTTCAAGATTTAACAGAGAAATGTGGAAGAAACGTCAGCTAGCATTAAATGTAGTGAGAAAAAAAAAATCAGGCTTTCTCTTTTTCATAACTGGGAGAGGATATATAAAAATAAAACACATAAAAGCACTATTTTACTGCTTAAGACTTGCAAGTTATTTAAAATACCAAATGCTGCCAAATTCAGGATAAATGAATTCTTCAGCTCTTCGTTATCTGGTATATCTAAAGCAGTACTTCTCAAAGTGGATTGGCTGACAACCTGTAGGTGGCTTATTAAACAATACCTGCATCTTATTTCATATTTAGCAAAAATAAAAAATGCCCCCAAAACACTCAAAGCCCCCGCTAGAGCCCCATGTCCTTCTACTAAAAAACCCCTTCAAATCCACTTTAAACCAGAGGTGGTAGTGGTAGTTTTCAATCCGAAGCTAAATGGAAAACAAAAGTCTTAACATAGTACATTGGCACAAAATTGTCATAATATTGCTCTTATTTACAATGAAAATAACTTTTTTTTTTTTTAAAAACTGGATTTGTATCATGGAAGTGTTACAAACATACTCTTTCCAACACCCACCCAACATTTTTCCTAATCAAATTGTATGAAAATACTTATTCATAAAATCTCCCACCCCCCCAACATTTTTCCTAATCAAATTGTATGAAAATACTTATTCATAAAATCCAACAGTCATAACACCAATCACGTATAGGTCTATAGGTCATTATGTCCGAAAGATACATTCATGTTTCGTACAGCATGAAACATACAAAAACTTCTTTAAAAAACTCTTAAGGATGATACAGATCTTCATAACCCAAAGTAAAATATTTAGCAGTTTTGCTTTTTTTTGGCCATAGAAAAGTATTTTAAAGGCCATTTATACCACAACAGGTAGAAACATTTGAATGAATGATTTATGATGCAGAAAGGCTTCAGTGCTGTTCCCTTTCCCAATCTGTTTTTGGTTACCACTATCCTGGCTTTGGAGAAGCCAAAAAGCCACTGAATTGCTGATGACCAATTATCTAAGAATAGTTACTTTGTTCCAATTTTTTTCCCAATGCAACTAGTTAATACACTACTAATCAGCTTAAGCCAGTGCAGAGGAAGATTTTGAAGAGACCTGTTATTCTTGCCTGTGTTTGTAATCAAAACAGTAATGACAGCCGACCAATAAATATCCCACACTGAATTGTGGTATAAATGGGTATTGAACTCAAACTGCTTTGGCAACTTGACATAGGAATATTTAAATATGTGACATACCAACACTATATTATGTTGCTATAAACGCCATTTCTGATTTCCCTCAGAAAAAAAAGGGCAAATGCTACTTTCATTTACAGCTTGACTATGAAAAAAATTTATTTCAATATAATGGATGAATTATTTTAATTTTTACACATTAAGTGCTGAGTTTAAAATAACCTTCCAACTAGCCAGCATCTCAGCTAATAATCTTGTCACATGGGAGTTAAAGCTTATACTTTCCTAAAGAAGAACTCTCTTTTGTTGCAAATGGCTTAAAATAAAACTGAAATTAAAGCTACCTTATTACTCTCTTTCAGTTTATCAGATCCAGAGATTCTTGTAAGATCCATTTTTCACTGAGGGATAATATTGATTTAAGCATCAAATCTAGAAATATAAGTAACAGGGCCACAGGCCACCTAATATTATTTTGTTTTCTAAAAATATTTAAAACTCTATCTTCCATTTGGCATTGTGGTTCATGTTTATTACTAAGTCATAAGCCAGGATTTCACTTTGCCTGAATCCCTTTTCACTTAATAGTTCATAGCTGATCTCTTTCAAATGTCCATAGAACACAGTATATTATATAATATAATTCTTCAATAGTTAAAAATTATTTAGTGTAGAACTTTCCATTTTAATTCTATGCTCTATATAGCTTACAACAAAATTTACTGGATATACATTTTCAGGAAACCAATACAATAAATTAAAATTTTTAAATAGAGGGCACAATGTTATGTTGTCACAGGGCAGTCAAAGAAGTGACTGATTTTTTTTCTGACAGTACATTACACTGGATACCTTGCTTCTGACTTGGTTTCTCCTATACTGGAAAAATATTAAAAAACTGGGAGGTTTATGTATCTTTAGAATGAGCTCAGATACTGTATCAGACAGACATTTCTTACAAATCTTCTACCTACTTAAATAAGAAGCAACCCATACCAACTGGAACAATTTTGCACAAGCATAACAGAAGGTGACTGGGGTTATTATTGAATTAAAATAAAGTTCTGGGACAACTTCATAGTGTTCTCCTCCCTTCCCCCCGACCCAAACAATTAAAAAGAAATAAAAGGCAGACCTGTACGAACACGGCTTGAAATCAACTATGAGGACTTAAAAAGTAATTGGTTAGCTAATGGAATTAAATCACATCTGATTATAAGTTCAACGTAATTATCAGTGCTATTAGAGAGTTACGTTCTAATCGAGTAAGACAGCTAGTCTCAATAAAAGGATAAAACAAAGTATCAGCTTCTAATGACCTACCAGCATTTCATGGTAAGCTGCTAGTAAGTTACTAGTTGGAAGGAATGAAGGAATGTGTCAGATTTTTCACATAATTACAACACAGCAGCATACAATGCTCATTCATGAAGTTGGCAGAGGTGCTTTTGCTACCGAGAGCAGCACGCAGGTACTTGTGTAAGGAAAGAGGGAATGGTATTTCCATGACCCCTTGCGGTAACACATTCCAAGCACCAAGGGCCGTTTTTAAAATCTGAACCCATTAAGATAAATATGACAGGACAATACCACCCCCACAGAATCATGAGTGCCTTTCACTGGATGTACACTGTAAGTCTCAAGGCACTTAAGGGGTTAAGACATAATGCATGCACTAGTTCCCATCACGTAATCTTAAGTCACACGAATCAGAATACACCAGTGTATGACACACAAGCTGTGTCAAAGAAATGCTGTTGGGTTTTTTTTTGTAGGTTTTTTTTTTTTTTTTTAATTTTTATTATTATTTTGTACAAGATGCTGGTAAGTGGGCATTATGCAGCTACTGCTGGGTTAACACAGATGCCAGCTTTCCTCTAACAACCAGCTGGTCTCTAGTAAGGGTGTAGGACAAAGTGTGCTGCATCAGTAGCCAGTGTGTATCTATCTAGTATCAGCAATATTGCTAATGTTGTAAAAAACAAAACAGTGAGAGTCTGTACATAGTAAATAAATCTAGCACTGGAAAAAGACCATGGCTTAGTGTATTTTTTTTCATTTTAAGAGACATGGGTGTAAAACAAAGTGAAATAATTCCAAGCCTTGTTTGTAGCAATTCAACCAGAAGCGCAGTATATGGCACTACAATGAGATATCGTAGATTACCCTGAACACAATTAGTTCTTTCAGTTTATGGTTTGTTCGGAGCAAAGCACGAAAATAAAGTCTTCAAACAGATGAAGGTTAGAAGAGTTTCAGAGACTGATTTTGTTTCAACGTAAAGTGCAACAGTGCTGAAGTTTTCAAAGTCCTTTGTCAATTCTTTGCTGTACTTCACTATCATTTCCTGCAAGCAGTAATATGGCACAACAAATGCTGCCAGTTCGTTATAGAGAACATTTGATATCCTAGGTTTTTTGCTCTTTACTTATGCAGTGATGGTTGTAAAGGTTTAATAAATCCTTCTTCATACACCTTCAAAATAGCTTCACATACAAATCTGTATTGACTCTGAAAAGGAAAGCAGATTCAGTAAAGTGAAAAGAAACGTAACTGAACCATGTCATTTGGAAGCAGAAAAGGCCTCTAAGATTTCCCCATCCCATTCTCTTGACAGCCCAAGAACTGTGCTTCAGAGTTAGCTTAGGAAACACAAAACAACAGGAACTTTATGTTAGAACATCTTGTTTCTCAACAGAAGGAGGAGATGAACGGCACTTTGAAATATATACCAAAAGTCACAGCCACAAAACCAGTACTCTTATTACAGCATCACCTATTTAGTAATTTTCTGCTCTTCACTTCGTTGCTGAAGTTCCACTGACCTGAGGTTTCCATGCACTTGGATTTAGAAGCTATAGTTTCAAAGCACTTTTTCATACTTACATTAATTCTGGCATGTTACCGGCACCTCCCTCTCAGACTTTGATAAAAAAGAAAATTGTTTCACGTTTTAAAAAGCCAGAACTCCAGTTTCTTAACATTATATAATGTCTAACTCTGCAATGTATTCAAGTCTAGCATCTGGATACATAGAGGCCATTAATATTTTGTTTTAAACAAATAGTAGTTAAAAAACCAACAGTAATCAAATTAGAATATAATGAAAATAAAATGAAGCAAAAGGACTGTTTTGTAAAGCACCACAACTAACACTAAATACTGCATAATGGTGTGTACGCTGGTCAGAACGCCAGCATGCCTGCCTTTTCAATGTCGTGAAATATCCCTCTCTACGCAGTTATTAGTGATGTCAGATCTTAAATGGGCACAGTAACAGGTTTAGCAACAGAATCATTATTTACTGGATTGTTGCATGTATATTAAAATAGTTAAATTTATGCATATTTGTGTAAAATACTTATTTGGCCTCCAGTGCCCTCTGAAGGAGACTCTGAACTCTCTTCATATAATAGTACACCCAGCAGCCACCCATGCATAGAGCCATCTTGTGGACACTTGAGTGAATCTTTCAGGATATACAAAATAGGAACAGTGTGTCAAAGGAGAAATTATAATAGCTAAAGTTCATGAAATCTTAAAAAACCCCAAAACACTTCAAATCTTTTATTATCCCTTCTCCCTCCGATGCAGTAAACACCTGCATTTCACTGAAGCTTGAAAATTCTGGTTTCTCTAAGAAAAATGAGAAGACCAGAAGATATTTAGCACGTCGTGAAAAAATATAGTTAAAACCCTTACCACTGCACCTCCTACCTCTACTAATAAAACTCTCTTCCTCTCTATGTATGCTAGAGAGATATGCAATTCATGTTGTATAGTCATTACAAACAGCAAGAGCCATCCTTTATTATTTTTCATGTATCATCATCTTTTTCATCCTTCCTGTGCTAGCTGAATAATACCACCTTTTTTTAGTGGAACAGGAATACTGGAGAGCAGCACTGAATGACAGATGACCTAGAAATGGAGGCCCATATATACTTTCTGTCAGTCTGAATACTCTCTGAAGAGCACAAAAGGCTTATTCAAATTTGATTAGAGGAACAGCAGCAGGGACATTAAAATTACTACAATGAGTAACTACCTTCAAGTAATTGCGGGAGAGATTTGATACTGGATCTAGTGCCTTTTCTCCTTCAAAATACTTTCTCTTTAAACACTGTGTACTACGAGTAAAACTATACAACTGATTACTGATTCAAAAAAAAAAAAAAAAAAAACCCAACCTGGAACTCGTCAAAGCTTGGAACAACCAAGAGTCCAAGCCTTTTTTTTTTCTTTGAAAGACAACACAACTCAATCTTTTGACCCTTTGGTAGACATTTTCTAAAAATGTAAACACAAACTGCTCTCAGAGATACACAACACCTGACCAATACAAATACAAAGTTTCTAAATATGTTCTGAAACTTTTACAGTTCTGAAATATAATATATTAAAGCAACATCACTATTATCTCAAAAAAACCCAAACATTACAGATCCAGGAAAAATTCCAGCATCTTAAGATACATCAAATGTGAAGAGAGCACCAAAAGAATCCTGGTAGCAAGTTACTTTTTTTAGACTAAATACACTTAAAATTACTTTGATATATCTCGCATCAGATTTAATTACACTGATTTTTAAAAATATTATTTCTCTGATTATTTCCATTTAATTGAGTCACTACAGGGCAAAGTTAAGGCTTGTTTTTGTTATAACTGAGGCAACTTAGTTATCACTGAATTGTGTCACTGAAGGTTCCTTCATGTCTTGGATCTTTCTGTGTTTAGGTTTTATAGTACTCCCATTCTTAACACCTGCAATTAGGCTCCTGCTTTCTCCACTGAGTAATTTTTACACTACTGAAAATTGGCTCTTTTTGGCATTAATTGCCACATATCCCTGAAACAGCTGCTGTTTTTTTCAAATTTTCCTTGACGAAATTTAAAGAATTGCTCCTTTCCAATAGTCTTAGCAATTTATTCCTGCCTGGAGCCAAGGCTACAGCTGCACTCGGTAAAGGTGACCTCTTTGCAATATGATCAACAGCAAGTATATTAAAAATCCGTCTAGTGATATGACCAGATAATAGGAAATTATTCTTCTGCAACATACAACAGCAAGTGTGATACTCACAGGTGTTTGGATCATCATGGCTCTTTGATCTCTCATGGTTCTTACAATATCTAATGGATAAACAGGCTGATTGCACTCAATGAGACACATAGCTGTCTCCATAGTGATAAGAACTCCCGTCCGTCCAATCCCAGCACTGAAAAAAACATCAAAAAAAACCAAATGGAAAATGAAACAATGTGTCTGGAATAAAGTTCATACTTAAAAGACCTTCCTTCTCAAGGATTCTCACAATTCATTGTTATGATTCCCATACTATTAGGGCAGGAGTTAGACAGATTGTGTCTGTGTCACTGGAAGCCTCCATCCTGCCTGAACAGAGCAAAAAACAATCAGGGCAGAATTGTCAGTCCTTTGAAGAGGGACTATTTTAACCCAGCCATTCACTTGAGCAGAATTTACAAACAGATATGTATTCAGATCGTATTATAAACCGTGCTAATATCTAGATGGTAACAAAACACAGAGATACGTGGCATACAATGTGCACTTTGTGCCAATTTGACTGTTACTGGAATGACTGTTACTGGAATGTTGGGCTATATGTAATAACGATCCCTTTCAAGACAAGGAAGAACCATAACATATACATCATGGAATGGCAAAATTGTTAGAAGAGTTTACATGAATCATCTTTACCTTAAAAATAAAATGAATCTGAAGATTTATCTGCATTGTTTTACGTATACAAATTTTTCATATTCAAGAAAATTGTTACACTTTTGAAATAGAAAACCAATGTTTCTCCATATTTGAATACAGGACCAAATCCATATTTTCAAATACCAGCATTATCTCAACTCATACAACTAGTCTTTCAGTCAATAAATGAAAGTGTTTGCTTCTAAATTAGTCAATATAAACATTCCAAACTCTGAAACTTAATTGTTCTGATTTTGAAGCATAACTTCAAATTAAGTCTGGCCAAGCTACTACTTTAAATCTTTGCCCAGAAGGTGGCATTAAAGCTACTATAAATTTCAGTGATGTCATAAGAATTTTATGACAAGATGTGAATGTGCTGGTTATATAAAATCATTCAATAGCATTTCATATTTCTAGAATTTACATGTATGGAATTTATATGCAGAATGCTTTATCAAATCCAAACAGGAACAGTATGTCAAAGAACCTAATGACAACTTCAAAAGATTCGGAGAAGGGCAATAACAATGATGGAAAGTGTGATAGTGTCCATATGATAAATATCAGGTACGCTAGGACTCTTCAGCTTGAAAAAAGAAATCATTGACTGATGGAGGGGAACACTGAGACAGGACATGAAAATCCTGAAGATTTTGGCACAGACAGGATGGATGGCTCACAATCTCATCTAGAACAAGAATTAGAAACTGTTCAACTAAACTAGTAGGAGTCTTGTAAAAATAGAAACAAACACATGAACACAAGCTTGGAAACTAGTGTTTTAAGTAGTTCAATGTAACAAAAACCCTTCCCATTTCTTAAGGTTTGTGTTGCTTTACAATCTCTCTCTTTTTTTGGTTTTGTTTTTAAACTACTATTGTACAAAAGAAAAGCCTGCTCTACCAGCTACTTGGATTCCCCACACTAAAGCTGGTGGGTTATAGTTCTGAAAACAAGTTTCACCATTTTGTTGCACCAGTGCCTTGTCCTATTATACTGAACAGATATTAAAAATAGCGTGCATGCATCATATGGAGGAACCCCTGGGCTCCTTCAGCTTGACTCACTAGTGGAATTTGGTTATACTTCCCAACAGCCACCAAGTTAGGCCAATTAAGTAAATCATGTTGAACTGTGATATTCCCTCTCTTTTCTTCTGTGAAACATAAAACTGTTGTAAATGTTGGTATTGAGATTATCAGTGTGGAGCTGAATTGATGCCTCATTGAGATGAATGAAACTCTTCATACTCTCCACAGTTGTTCCAGTGCCTCTGCAGGCTTGCACACTTTATATTGTAAAAGTTGTATTTGGCTGACATTTTCACTATTTGTTCACAACCATATCAACCAAAAGTGTATCAACAATGGAAGCTGAGGAACAATATCATTTAAGACAGTGGCATCCTGGTACTGGTTTCCCTAGTTAATAAGATTCACCCTGACCAGCATAAACCAGAAGAGAGAGCAAAACCAATTAAATACAATTTCTGATATACGAGGTGTTAAAAAGAAAAAACATTTTTCTTTCATCATCTTCAATAAATGTCTGGTTTACTTGTTGATTAGATAGTCTTTAAATTGATTTTCTCTCTTAAACCTCTCAGCTTCTCTCTGAAACAGGAATGATGCACACCTGACTTAGGAACACTGACTGTCTGGGGAGTATTTGGGAATTTGGAGGTCAAATTTTATTCACAGAACTGCTCACCAAGAATTGGTATAGCACGTGTTCATGTGAAGACATTTGGCGTTATGCATTATTACAGTTTACTAATAAGGTATTTTAAAGGGTTAAGATTTTGAAATTTACTATAGGAATAGAGAATGCTATTAAGAACTATTGCACAAGAAAAAACAAAAAACCACATTTCATGTCTACATAAAAATCTGAGTAACAGTTATTTTAATTAATGACAAAAGTAAATTGTTGAGAAAAACGTGTCATCTTAATGTATGTATCAAAATATTGTGTAGCCTAAGACTGCAGACTTGAGAGAAAGTCTCTTTTATTTGATCATTGCATATACCACCCACGTTTTCTGCTATGGATTATTTATACAGTTATTCTGGAGTTTTGTAGAACAGTCACCATGAAGAAAAGGTTCCTAAGTATCTTTTGCCATTTCCCTGAACTATTATATAGACTGTTCGCACAGGCATTTAAACTGTAAACAAAACAAAAAACCCCAATACAACAAAACCCCTGCACCGATCAACGCATGTAGATACTCACAATTTTGCTTATTGAAATGTGGTTACTATTTTAAGTAATGGTTTAATTTAAATGGTGAGTTCTGTCATGCCCAAAGCAGATGCAATTAAATGTTTATGTCAACAACAAAGCACAGAAAAGCTATTTGATGATAAATAAGTTTAGTTCAGTGATTTAATAAAGTTGGAAAAAAACAGGTACCTGCAATGAACAACAACAGGTTCTTCTCTGCCAGCCCTCTTCTTCCGCACAAGACACACAAAATCTAGGAAATCGCTGGAATCGTCAGGAACCCCATGATCAGGCCATGCTATATACTGGATTTGGGTTAGTTGGCGGCTTTCCTCTTTCTAATCAGAAACATGAAGTTTATTCAAGGGTAATTCAGGTCCCATTAAAAAAAAAAAACAAGCCAAAAATAATAATTTAAAAAAAAAAAAAAATCAGTTACAGCAACTTGTACCCGTAATAAAATTGGCTTCAGGCAACTAGCAGCAATTTATTAGTGTTAATTATTCCTCATCCTAGATTTTATAATTACATTTTTTTTCTTAGAAACCAAAAAGGCAATCCACAAATGTTTACATCTTCAAAAGGTTAAAAAAATTACACGCCATGTAACGGCAAAGCAGTTCAAAGATACCAATGACCTATTTGAACACTAGATGTAGAAGGTGGTGGTCAAATTTTCAGCAAAACAAGTTTGACAGAAAGGGGTACTATCTTACTAGATCAAATGACAGAACTGAGGTAGGGAGGGGAGAGGCAGGACTTCCAGACATAAAAGCTATCCTTCAGACCCCATCTGAACAGCAACATTGCTTTGGCTTTATCTGCACTTTTTAATTTTATCCAGCCTACTATACATAAGATGCAGAATGACTTCGTTTTCCACTCCCTCTTGCCCCTTGCTCTAATACCACAAACATAATCTGCCTCTGGCTAGTGGAGGGGACAGGCCGTATGATCAGAGTAAAAGCAGCATTTCAAAGAACAGGAGTTACTGCACTTCACTTTAGGCACGGAATCGTTTACAGATGTTGCACTGCTGGTAACAAACGAGTAGTTGTCTCAACAGGACACAGGGAAGAAATTTTACCTGCAAACTGACTAAGAGGCAGCTTTGTAACTCATCTGGTAACCCATGCAGTGAGAAATGAGTACATGAACTAAATTCTAGATATTCATTTCCAAACATTTTTGAGATTGAAATGCTAGCTGGGGAGGCTCTGAAAACTACACGTGCCCTGAAAATCATGCAATGCATGTTCAAGAAGGTCCTTGTTTACATGTAGTCACCAATACTAATTCACCTTTCTCTCAGCAGGATTTATCTTCCATATACTTGCACATATTCTCCAAGATCGAATTATTAAGAAAAGTTTGCCTCTATAAAGACAGATTTTCAGTTGCAATAATGAAATACCTCTAGTGTCTCATGTTTTGAAAACATCAAGGGAATAACAAGTTTCTCAACTTCTTTAGCTGCTCTTTTTCTTTGGCCAGGGCATGAAAGACACCAGTAAACACTTTTAAGACAAATAATACATCTTTTATGTGATTTAAAACCAATTAATATGATTATGGAAACTGAATCTTTGTGATATTTTGCTAGTGAAAGGTTTGTTATCATTCTAAGAGCAGAACTTATACTAGGCAAGTACATGGCAATATGAGTAGTTTTCTAAAGGTTTCTAGAAATAAACAGTTCTATTTATGTGGATATGCCACCAAGTTGAAAAGAAAGTCTGATTAAGTAAGTTTTAGCTAGCCTGTGAGGATTCCACAGATTAATACTTAAAAATATATGTTATGATTTTACCTCCAGATTAGTCAATGTCATTTCTCGAAAGACATAAGCAGGATTTCCTTCTTCTGAATGGCAGGTAATCTGGAAATTCCCATATGATGAGCTTCCTGAAGGCTCTGGCCAGTACTGATGGCATTTAACCTACGGTCAACACATTTTTAAAGATGCCCGTGTTTAAATTCACAGAGTATTATTTTCATTCTCTCTAGTTTCTTATACCTTTGTTCATTGAAGACTATTTTGTTCATTTTGTAATCACTATTATTTTACTTACCAAATAGGCTGTGTTACCTAATAACTGTTTATAAAATAAGGTATCGCAGAGATTTCCTGGTTCTGTTTTCAGGAGGACACATGCACCAGCTCTTGAGGTTAGTTTAACTGAAGATGGATGCCTTTAACTTTCAGTACAATTTAAAAAAAAGTATATCTATAAATACTCCATCTCTAACACTTGAGTGACAAAGATGCTGCTTTATGAACATTTCTGACCTCCAAAATCCTAATCGAATCTTCTCAAAGCATATTTATATGGGAAAAGAACAAATGAAAAAAAAATGGGAGAAGCAACAAAAAAGTTGCTAAACTAATGCAGAAATTAGGGAGATGCAGATGGTGGACTTCAAAGACTCTCGATCAAGTAATCAAATGTGAATTAAAACTTCAAACACTAAGATTTTCAGATACATTGCTTAAACGCCTAATTACAGAGGTCATTTCAGCTCAAGTGTACTTTGTTTTTCCGACCCACCTGGCGATTCTTTAAGAGCAGCCAGATTTGCAGACTTCCTGCTCCACTGAGACATCCCGGCATGCAGTGGGATAGTGATGTCAGTAGCCTCATGATCAGCTTTAGAGCAGGGAGTCTGCCTATGGGTATAAGACAGATAAGTCCTTTTATTTCATTATTAAGCAGCTCTCCAAAGAACTCCACAACTATCATTATTGAAGGGATGGGGGAACCTCAGAGAACTGCTATTGCAAGTCTGTTCTTAGCAGATCTGCAAAGAAAACTCAAATTAAAAGGGCACTTGTACTGAAATTCCCTCTAATCATGTTTATTTGAGAGCAGGCAGTATCATGCTAACAATGAGTCACTGAAAAATGGTTTAAAAACGCTGCAACTCCCCTTCAGTTATTTTAATTGTATTTAGAGGCCTGAGCTCCCAGCAAATATGTGGTTATTAAAAAGTCGGAATATAGACAGCTGAATATAGTCAGAATAAAGACAGCTGAACTACAGTCTGAGTTGATCAGAACACCCACAACCTACTATAAATCCATCTTCAAAAGAAAACCTGAGTGTGGAGAAATTCCACTAAACTATTATTCCAGACTGTCATTTCTGCCCACACACTCAACCAGCCAGTGCTACTCTGAATGCTCCAGACTATAAACCCAATAATTCTGGAATTACACTGTGTGTATGACCAGATTCGATTGTTTTGCCTGTCTCCAAAGGACAAAGCTGCACAATAAACAAAGCTATTAAGGAGAAACTATAGCTAAAAAAACCCCAAACCAAACCAAAACAAAAACCCCAACAAAACAAAACAAAAAAAACCCCAAAAAACCAAACCACAAAATACACCTGAGGCCTTTTACAGCACCATATACAATTATTTTTAGCAATTTATAACCCTAATTACTTTATTACTAGTACTCAATTTTTACACATTTTTGTATGGAAATGACTTAAAGGACAATGATTCTTTCACATGATTAAACAAATGTTTATAGCTGCAGAAGAACATTTTATGAAAAATTTTAGATTTCAAGCTTATCAAGGATTCTCTTAAAGACAGCCATCCAGGCATGAGATCTTAACGCTACAAAGCTGTGTTAGGCTGCCTTAAAAAATTAATCTCTCTACATATCAAAGAACTAATCTACAAGAACTGATTAAACTTCTTGGAGTTCTTTTACTTGAAGTTTAGAGAAAAAAAAAATCCTATGAAGGTAAATTCTAGTTGCTTTTTACTTTACAATGAAGAATTAAACAAAGAAGACTAAAAATATTTTAACAAACACGTGAAGACTTTAATGTATTTCAGAACTGAACAAAGTTTAAATATTAGCAACGTTAACAATATCAGAAGGTGTAAAATGTAAGAGTCTTTATTACAACAGTACTATGAACGCACTGCCCTTATGAAAAAAAGTCATAGAACTATAGAATGCTTTGGGTTGGAAGGGACCTTTAAAGGTCGTCTAGTCCAACCCCCCTGAAACAGGCAGGGACATCTTCAACTAGATCAGGCTGCTCAGAGCCCCATCCAACCTGATCTTGAATCCCTTCCCAGGGACGCAGCATCTACCACCTCTCTGGGAAACCTGTTCCAGTGTTTCACCACTCGCATCGTAAAAAATTTCTTCCTTACACCTAGTCTAAATCTACCCTCTTTTAGTTTAAAACCATTACCCCTTGTCATATTGTATGTCATAATAGTATATTCCTCTAATCTTTTAAAGGTTAATTACCAACAGATTTTTAAGAGGTTAAGCAAGTAATATTTAAGGAAATCTTTCACTTACTCTGCCCCGTTCAACTTGAGTCGTTAACATTACAACCATAGATGAGCCTTGTTCCCAAGTCATCTGCCAAAAATCAGGACAAGTGTTCGGTAATGGACCTTGACAAGCAATGTACTGGTTTATTATTGTGGAAGAAGGGATTTCCATCTAAGAGAAGACAAAGTCATTATTTTAATTCTTACAGCAAATATAAGTCAGGCATCAGATGTTTAGTGTTTAGTAACTAATACATTAAAAAAGCATCAACTATATTAATTCTATTTATTATAAGTCAGTAAATACGGATTGGCACAGATAAAAATTCTTCAAAGTGTTTCACATGCAAAATTATTTCAAAGGCCCAAGTACACTTCACATATTAACTGACAGTTATGTAGCTGCCATAATCAAGATTAATGGTCAAAAAAAGAATGATAGACCAGTTGGAAAATAATTCAGGTGCAAACATTTCATGCTCTGTGGGTTTCTGACACTAGCTTTTAAAACATTGATCTTGGAATTTAATGTAATCTCTTGTTTTTGTTCCTGAAAGGAGAAGTAAGTAGCTGTAATTTTGTTGTTACTGACAATGTGGGGAGAAAAAAAAAAAAAAGATGTAAAAGAAAGTGCTGCTAGATTAAACTTTACTGATGTTGAACACTACTGCCACATCAGTAATCAGAAGAGAAGAGTGAATTCCTCTGGTAGAGGGCTAGCTTCTTCTAGTGTTTTTTTTTCTTGGTTTCATTTATAAAAACACCTGCCACAAAGCATTAGCAAATAAGTATCTCTACAGTAAATCTAAAATAATCTGACTACAGGTTTATCAGTCACTCTAATCTGAACTAGATTTATGAAAATGTTATTTTTTTAATGAACTTCTCCACTGAAGAACCAGCAAAACTCCTTAGTGTCAGGAGTTCTTTTGAAAAATACTACTCACATTTATATAATTTGCATTGATGTAATCTTCATTACTTTTTAAAATAACCCGTGTAGCATCATCTGCAAAAAATTTTTAGAAACATGTTACTTATTTATTAACCACAGTAAAATACTTCTAGAACACATATACAAACACACATACTTACAAGGCGAAATGTCTCTGTATCTATTTTTGGAAATGTTTTGAGGTAATCTGGCGCAGGACATTGTCATTCCAGGCTTTTTCCTATACAATTGCTAAAAGACAAAACCGATGGTCAGACCATAATAGATGCAAAAGACCCGTTAGTACATTAATTGCCTAGAGGTGCTTTTTAGAACATAAGCTACTGAGCAATGTAGCTTCAACATACATGAAAAGACTTTTCAAAAGAAAGCACTACAAATTTAGTTATGCTGTGAGATCACTGGAAATAATCAAGACGTCATCACAATTTGTTTAAAGACAAACTGAACATTACATTTCAAGCTTCCATAAGAATGCTGATCCAGAGAAAAGTCATTATTGTACACTGGTAAGGGAACTGACCGATACTGACATTCCACACAGTGATTTGGGGCAAGCAGATTGTGTTGTGTATAGGCATCTACCTACATTGCAGTTGTTTCACTTTTTTTTTTCACCCAAGATGTCCTTCCGTATTTCAGTAACTATCGAGCGAATCCTGGGCTACCTCATGCTTTTCCTGCACAAAATCTTCTTTGAGAGGTTCTTGCCCTCTCATGCCTTAGTCATGCACTGCCACAACCCTTGTGCTGCAAGCAGTATCAGTGAAATGATCCAGGTTCAATAAAAAGCAGTTTAAAAAACTTTTAAACATTGAACCTGTTTGGGAGATTGAAAATGCATGGTTAAGGAGGGATTTTAAATAACTTTGAGAAAATCTTTTCTTTCTATATACAGAAGTAAATTTACCAAAGCTCTTAAAGAATAGTATATAAATATATTTTACAAATATATGTTGTAATAGATAATGCTGGGTCTCCATTTGGTGAGGAATTCACAGAATTCACATTGTTGTGTTTTACAAATCTACTGCTTTCTGCTTTAAGTCACTTGATCTCATGTATTAAAGATGGAACATCATCAAGGCACAAGTTAGTGCTAAAGAAAGACTATAGCTATCAGCAGCTTAGGACCCCACAGAAAGTGCACTGTTCTTCTCAAATATGTCATAAAAAAATCAACTATTTATAGAAGACATTGTTACCTTAACCCTTAAAATTAGGGTTGTAACCCTTAAGATTAGGGTTGTATTTTCCATTGGTAATTTTACCTTCCCTCATTGAGATTGTCCGTAAAACGTCAACAGCTCAGCTGTCACTCAGCTTCTACAGTAACTTAGATACAGAATGAAGGTCTGAGTACAGAACACATATTTTGGTATACTTTTTTCAGTCTTCATCTCTATGAAAGTATTTTATTAACACAGGTCCCTGATAAACACAAAAAGCTGAAGTAATCAATAAAGCTATTTATAACAAACAACACTAAAAACTAGTATTAGGATTATTGTATGCCATAAGTTTGCACATATAATACAGGATTGGGGTTTTTTTTTGTTATTTTTCTTTTGAGTGTAAGACAATTGTTTTGCTAAAAGATGCTGACTCTACTGAAATTTAACTGAAATATGCTCTGCTTAAAATAATTACTATTCCAAAAGACCTGGAACTTGCACACAGCTACAGGCAACACGGTACTCACATCAAACTGAGCCAAAACAGTTCCAGTGGTAAGCCCCTCTGCTAGCTGAATCATGGATTCCCTCAGAGCATTATCATCTTGATGGACACCATCAAGTGGAGATTTCTCAGGGATGTACTGGAAGTCAGGCTCGCTCTCCAGCTTTTCTTCCACAACATCATAGACAGCTACAACAAATAAAGGTATGAACGCTCTGACTGAACATGTTGTTCGGCAAGCAAAGTTAACTCTAAGTCGTTTATTTAGAACAGCAAAAACCCCAAGTGTTTCTTCTGTAGAAAAATCCACATTTATTAACACACTGATTTTAGTCCCCATGAGCAAGGGCAAGTAGCCTGTATTGATCACTACAATCCATGACAAAACCTTTTTTTTTTTTGTTTAACAGTAATTTTAAATGAAAGCACATCACTGACTGCTAAAATTTTGAGCAAAAGTCATGTTATACCCTACCTTGTCTGATATAACTCCCTAATCTCAGATTCTCACATCATGCCTCTGAAGGCATCATAGTTGCATTTACATTTTTACTTTTAATTCACTTTGAACTGATTTTATGCTTCAGTAATTAGGGTGAGATGTGCAGACCACCTGAGCAAATGGCATTAATATCAACGCTGTATGCGTGCCCTGCCTATAAATAAAGTGAAAGATAACATGCATCTTCTACTATCCATAACAGAGACATATGCTGTTTGAAAGCCTGTTTTTAAATGATATCCCATGACCATGAAGGAGGAAACTGGCAACTCCTGACTTCTACAACTCAAATGTTTTTATCCAGAATACAAAGATAATGAACACACAAGCAGAAACTGTTTTAGTAAATTTGTAAACAAAGCTAACGATTTTATCTGAAACAGAAAGTACGCACGCAAAAGCTGCAAGAGAACTTACGCAGAGAATGAGAGCACAAGTAAGTGGGGAGCGCAAATAAGTGAATAAAGGAAAAATTGTTTACGAGGTGGCTGAGGTACTCTCCTAAAGTAATTTCAATTATTCTGATTAAACATCATTATTTTTCATTTTGCTTTTTCCACTGCAATTGTTTTATCTTTGGGATGTGCAGCAGAATTAAATCCAGTGACCATCTGCTGGCAATGCTCCAACAGTGTATTTCATGAGTATATTGCACAAGCTGTTACTTAGACTGCATTTTTAGCACTTTCTTCTATTGAGCCTCCTCAAGTAGAAATGCTACAGTCATTCTGGATTGTTTTAAAAACATATGGAAGGATTTTGCATGTATCGACCTCCAAAGTCATCCAAACACTGGGTGTTCGGTGAGGGATTTTTTATTTGTTTGTGTTTAGTTTTTATTTTCCTTAAAGGAATAACAGCAACCTCAGAAACTGCATGCAATATCCATATAGCTTTCTGGACATTTTTATCAATGAAAGTGAGAACAAAATTTAAATTAGCTCTCTGTTAGAAATATTTGATCTCTGACTTTCCTATTAATTTTCAACACTTAGTTACACACGGCTCCTCAGAGGATGGGATCTATCAAGATTTGTACAATACGTTGTGTTCTTGCAATTCCTTTTCAAGGAAGTTCGTTCTTTCTTACAAAGATGTTAAGCATTCCATCTCAGGACACAAAATAGAGGTTAGAAAAGGAAGGCAAGGTGTGGATTTTTATTTTTTTTTTTTTATTATTGTTATGTACAAATCACTCACCATTGGGTCGAACTAGGAGCACAAGTTCCCCTGAGTGTCTCTCACAGCTAGCTTTAATAAACATAACAACTTGGTCATGGGTATGTTCTGCTATATCCCTGCCGTTAATCAGTACAACCTGGTCCCCTTCATTCAAACGAGGGACACAGAGATCAGCCTGCAAGGTGAAGAAAAAAAAAAAATCTGTAAAACAAGCCATTTCCAATTTCTCACCTTAAAATAGCAACTTTAACTATACTTGGGGACTTGAATCCTAACAGCCTAGTTGCTATGGTTGCTGCACTGTATTCAAATGATAAATTTAAGTGTTACACAATACGTAAGACAGTGCCATTCACATGAACAAATCAATGTGCAGCTGGGAGGTGACCGTCATTGTAACATGTCTTCGGCAGCTGTTACTCCACTCCTCTGGTTGAAGTAGAAAGCTCCTCTGTTTAAATCACGTTTTGTATAGGCAATTAAAAAGCAGGATGTTCTTATCTTTGAAGGGAAGGGAGTAACATAGCAAAGCCTTGTCCAAATCAATTTCACAGGCTTAAATGCTTCAGGTGTGAAGTAACACAGCTGTAACGACAAGGGTAAGACAAGGACCGAAGACAATGCACAAATCCCAGTAATCCCAGAGAGAGGAATCAGGTAATACAAATCATTATTATAATTATAGTCTAACCATCATTGCAGAAAAGAAAGAGCACATGCCATCACCAAGTATCTTCTCCTTAGAGAGTGGATGTTTAAAGCATTCAGCCAAAATTATTTATGTTATTAAATATTTCAGAGGTAATAATTAACAGGTACAAGAACAATGCTCTTGGCAAACATCTTAGTAGTTTCAAATAGTCAAAAAAACCCCAAAGCTGTACTTCTTACATGTTAGCAAATAAACGGTTCACTCAACTCTAAAAGGTATAAACAGAGCTGACTCTAGTCAGCTGAATACCAGGTCAGTATTTTTGGCAATCAACTGACAAAATATTGTGCCTAGTTTGAAGACACTATTGATAGTCACTAAACACCAGTAACAACAGACAATCAGACCTGATGAATGATTCATGATGTCTGATTTTAATCTAAATCTTGGCTTTATTCAGCTACATCTGTCACTAAAATAAGAGAGATTTGCTATTTTAGTTATTTTTAACATCCTAAAAGACTCTTTCAATATGTAATTTATGTGAAATTATATGAATGCCTACATTTAAAAAAAGTAATAAAGTAAACGTATTTTTAGGATGACACAGCTCAAGACACAGTGCATACTGAACATCTGTAACTCCCTGTAATTTTCAGGAATTAAATTTTGTTTCAGTAAGGAAAAAATATTTTTGAGGATTGAAGAACTTTTAAAAATATGTTATGTAGCCCCATCAAATTCTTACTGCACATGATTTGCTTTGTTAGGATAATGGTATAGCACAAACTAATTTTCATAGGCAGACGTGAAATAGTTTACAGTTTTGAATACAGACTTTAAGATACACAGATATTGCTATCAAGTTTGGCTTTTTGATAACTTACAGGTGTTCCTGGAGCTACCCTGGACACTATTACTGGCATCTTCTGATCGTATCCACCCTTTAAAAAACAAATTAAATTAGTAATAAATCACAAATGTCAGAAAATAATCTTAATAGACATGAAGGGAATAGATGTGCTGTTACCTTTACATTGAAGCCAAACCTTCCATTTTCATCTGGTTTCATTCTGATCATAACAAGATTGTCATGGGGGACACCACCATTGGGCTAGTAAACAAAAATTATATTATATTAATAAATGTTTTGTTCATAGCTAGACTTTAAGGATATCGTATGTAATAATTTTGCAGTTTCCCCATCAAGTAATTGCTCCTGGACACTTGAGAAAACATCAAGTAATAGTGCAAATGTCTTCAGTTTTGCATAAAGGGTAAAATTATACATTTAAAAGTCTTGGACATAACTAAGTTAAAAGCTTGCTTCTGTCAAAGCAAGCTCAAAGTAAGAAACAGTATTAGAAAAGACTAATTGGCTTCAGTCTTAAGGAAAAACAGTCTACTAAATGGGAACTCCTTAAATTTGTTTTTATTAAGACCGCAGTGAAAAGCCTGCAGTAAGAATGTAATACGATGAAAAATAAGGTAATTGAAGGTATACTTTTGTTTCTATTAACAGCAATATTACAGTAGTAAGCAAGGACACGTTTGGCATCAAAATCTTGGTTCCATATCCCCTATTGCATTTCCAGTGTAGCGGAGTATGAGGTGTGACACATGCTCTGCGCTGATCAAGCTCTGACAATTTTAGCTGCTTTCTTTCTGGTTTCATTCTGATTACACCACCACTGTTAAAGGAACGACCAATAAACAGGAAAATACTAGATACTTTTTTAATCTGGAAAAATCAACTTAGTGCCATTGAAGTGGTTTTTAGTTTGTTCTCATTCAGATTTATTTCACAGACTGAACATTAGCTAGTATTTCTATAGTTTCTAATAATGCTTTGCATCATAAAGAAATTTGTTTCAAAGAAGTTTTCAATGTTACCAGTTACAGCCAGAGCATAAGACTCATATTCAGAAAGGAAGAAAACAAAAACCGTTATTAAAGCAAACATTTCTATATGTAAGAAAGTTCAAAACCTGCAGGTTCAATAGGTAAACGAAGTCTGCTCAACTTGGCTAATAAAAAGTTAACTCAATTCCAGGTGTTTTAAGCTCTTGGTTAAAACAAAACAAACCCCCCTGAACACATTCATAGTAATGAAAAGATTAAAAATTTGGGGGAGAGGAAAGTAACAGTGTAAGATACGTTTCTTAGAAGGAAGGGTGCTTAGGAAGCCCAATCGCATGCAAATCATTTTAGCCTATGTTCACTGGCACCGGAGACCAGACTCAGGTTCCTGGGCAGAATGAACAACCAAGTGCTCACCTGCAGCATTTGGCAATTTTTGTGTCATTGCATTCCCCAGACAAAAAGGGAATAATAATTTCCTGCTTTAACAGGCTATTCTGAGCAGCAGTTTATAAAGAAAAACCTGAAGAGAGCACTGGGTATCATCATTAACCTGTTTGACTGAAGGGACTCCTGGCCACACCTGTTTTCAAACACCTCTGGACATTCTCAGACTGGATACTTAGGGATTACAGATGGAGTAAAAAGTTGTCATTCCCATACCTGTCCTACTACCTTTCTAAATAGACTCTCCATATATACAACAGACGAAGGAAATTCAATAGCTAAATGAAGTAAAAATGGTGAGGGGTTTTCCTTAAGATATTTGAGATGGAGTACCAGGAGAGACTTAGTGGTGCAGGAACCTGAAGTGCATTCTGATCAGAAAAGCAACTTTGAAAAAAACCCCACACTCCAAATCCTAAATTTACAATTTCACAAAATTTCAGAGTCATGCTGTGTTCCTTCTTCTGTAATACCCAAAATAAAAAGCCATCAGCAGACCAAATTAGATCTTCAGTTACAACAGTGAACTGCCTTAAGCAAGGCTGCATAAATGTGGCCCATTCGACCACAGCAAACAATCACATTGACAATGCACACAGAAAAAGGAATCTCATTCTCATGCAGCTGTGTTGGTTTTGCAGAACTAAAAGGAGTTAAAAAAACAACTGAAAGTTGTTTTTGTCAATTTGGTAAAGATAACTGAATACAAAGCAGAAAAACTTGATGAGTAAAGTAGTGTTATCTTTCAAAACAGAACAGTACTTTAATATGACTCAGGTAAGGACTGACAGAAGACAAAGCTGTTAAAAATTGTTTCCTTATTTAATTAAAGCAAAATTTTCCACAACATTCCCAAAATGCTCATAAATTTACAAGTTTCACTTCTGGATGTTTTATTAAAACCTCAGCTATGAAATTAAATATGGGGTTTATGGGAATCTTAACTTTGTAATGAGGCCTGAGAGAACACCCTAGGCTTAGAATTCAGAATGCAAATAAAAATAAACCAAAGGCATTTCTAAAATACCAATTTTGGGAGCTGACTCATAATTTTGAATGTCTGAGGTTGGCGAAACTGTTTATACAGTATTTGCTACATCTGGATGTTAAACAGCTTTCCCATCCTGAAAAACGTTTCTTGTCCCACACCAGTATAAAACCAAGAACCATTTGAAAACTTCTGGAAGGACAAAAAAAAAAAAATCACAAAAATTGTCAGTGAGATGTCACCTCAGTCAGATAATAATCAACTGACTAGCTTACTCATCTAGGACATGCTTAAGTGTGGAAAAAGAACTCTTCCTCAGATTTTGACATTCGTTGTCACAGGTCTCTTGGTAGAGTCTCTTTCTTGGAAATTCTGATGAGAAATGCAACCACAGATTCAAGAAGCCTCTCCTGACAAAACTGCTCCAGAAGCTGGTAGGCACTTTTAGTTTCAGCTTTTTGATAAAAACTAGATTAAACACCAGTGGTAGCGTCTGTAAGGTCTTCTTTAAAATTGATGGTAAATGACTTCTCAAAGAAGGGTTAGTTAGAAATTTCTGCATGTGCTAAAAAGCTAACGTTCAAAATATTTGCATATCCATCCCAATGTCATCATTTGATGACACCTGACAAAGCACTACTCCAGCAGGTGGAAAAAATAGTGGGAGTTATACACACTGCAAAGAGGCAGTGTGTATAAGGGAAATGCTGCAGTGTAATGCACCAACACAACAACTCATTGAAACGCATTCGAACCAAACTCATGGAAAGCACGACTATCATTCCGATAAAAAGCAGAATGGTCAAACTGGATCCAAAAACTTACTGTGGATTTTTCAGGTGATGCAGGAACATCAAATGTTTCATTAATATGGTTATCCAGTTCTTGCTGTGAGTGTGAATGATGAATTTGGTTCCAACTGTTCTTTTTAAATTGTTTGGGTGGTAACGCAGGAGGCGGCCCATCTATAGGAGTCTCTTGAGATCTAAATACCAAAATAGAAGTATGAAGTGGAACAATCATGCGATATTGGCAGTTCTTTAAGGGTTCCAAATAAACTGAAAACGCTAGAAGAAACTCAAGATTTTGAGAGCTGAATATCTACATGTATTTTTAGAATCTCAAAAATGTACTGTGGTGGAATATATTGGAAGTGTATGTTTGGACATGTTACTGCTTTTTTCATGACAAGCAACTGTACACAGAACCAGTATGTTCATCTTTTACATGACTTTTTAAATGGTTTTAGCACTCTTAACCCACTTTATATTGGAATATTATAAAATTTACTGTATTTATACTCTGCACTCTTGCTAAAAAAAATTATTTCTGAAATAGATATGTCAATGTGTTTTTCTCAGTAAGAAAAATCAATTAGTTTGCATCTTCAATTAATGGCTGCAATTTAAATCTTAAAAACAGACACAAGCAGCATAATAAAATGCTCCCACACTAGTTTTTGGCTTTTGATCTAAAAACAGGAGGCGTGCAAGTTGAAGACAACTCAACTGTCCCCCTGCATTTATTTGAAAAGCCCACTGGAGATGATAGTGTTCAATTTTAATTTTTCAATTTAAAAGTATATGTAAACATTTCAAAAGAACTTTTTTCCCCCCCTCTTGAACATATTCCCCTTTGAAACATTTGTAAAAATGGCATTCACACATGCATTTTTTAGTTGAGTTATAACACCATTACTGAAGATGAAATAGCAGAAATATCTATTTTTGTTTTAGATCTGCAAGCACTCTACTGTAGACTAATAAAAATGTTCTCTGTGTTTATGTGTAACATGGATAATTTCCTTTATTAGTCCTTTTGGAATAAAAGCTTAGCTGTATGATTTGTATTAAATAAATATATGATTCATCTTTCATTATGTGGCTTTATATTTGAGAATTAAGAACAACATTTTGAGAGGCCCAAAAGGGCAGTTATAGCACACAGCTCCCATTAACTTAGCTTGAATGCCAGTTTCTAAATACCAGCAAGGATACATGCCTTCCTCCCCATGAACCACATTAAAAGGTATTAAGTAATTTAACGACTTATGACAACAGCCCACTGATACTAGTGGCAAATCAAAAAACCACCAAGAATGAAGTTACAGGTTACAGCTAAATCTAAAGAGAATGCTACCACCAAAAATGGGTGCCTCCGTTCTTTCTTTCACCCACACCCACGGCCCCTTCCCTGAAGCACTCCGGTGCTCCTCCCTTGGCTAAAGCAGCTTACCAAGCAAGAAAAAATACATTGACTTTTTGGACAAGCCTGGGTAGCTCTCTGCTGGTTCAACAAGGTGAACTGGTTCATCACAGGGTCAACCACGGTGTGGGGAGGGAAGCACACTCCCAGAAGCCAGAAATAGGTCACTGTCCCTTTGATTATCAGCAAAGCGTAGTGGTAACTCATAGCATAACATCCCTCTAAAAAGCACGGGTAACCACGTGAGTAGTCCTACTCTATTTAACTGGTCTAGCCACTGTAAACTGCTAGCAGGGTAACAGTCTCATTATGAGACAGCATAACATTTCAAGTTGCTGCAAGTTAAGAAAACCTAAGGTACACATCAAATTCCATACCGTATCATTTGTTTCTATGCAATTAAAGAAAGGCAGATCCCAGATACATGCTTTCAAATACAAACAAAAAAATCAGATCACAATTGTCTACAGTGATTTCAAACAAAGGATGAACATCTTTCAAAAAGCATGAAAACTGAATGGGAAATGGAACGCTTCACTTTGAAAAACCACGTTTTCCATTTCAGTTTTAAAAAATTTAGTCAATTTTCTTAGAAAACAAAATATTGATAGATTTTTTTGTCAATGTATGAAAACAGTACATTTGAAAAGATCCTAACAATATTTTTTCTGCATGTTTTTACTTAATTTCATATTTTTTTTCATGCAGTGTTAAAGAAAAAAAAAGTACTGATTATTCAGTACCTGATGTCTGATGAATCTCATGTTCAAAACACACTATGGAGTAAAAAGAATATTTCTTAACACTTTTCAATGCAAGTGACAGTAAACAAGATCATATCATCCTTATATTTTATTTTTCAGGATAAACAGCTTTCCTAAATTCATTTTTGTGGAGAAAGAAAAATATGATGACTGCCAACATTTGCAAAATGAATTTTCAAGGCAGCTATAAATTATTTAGACATTGACTTACAAAGGTCACCCAGAGCTTTTTAACTGCCTGTGTATTTATTCATTCAAGTCTGGCCAGCACAGATTATTCAGCCTTTTAAGTGAAGGGCAACATAGTTATGTATTTTCCTGCAAACAATTACTCCTGAGACTTTTAAACTGAATGAAAAAGGAACAGAAAACACGAGTAGAGACACAAAAGGAGTAGTTCCAATAAAAGTAAAAGATGGGATCTTAGTTTGACTAGATGTCTGTACATACATGTCAACAAACACAAATAAATTCCTACCGAACATGCAAACTCATAGAAAAGATTTGAAAAGTTACTTAAATGAGCATTTTAGAAGCAGCAATGCAAGTACTGTAATATATTAGCATAATGAATTGTGAGAACTAACAATCAAGCCTTGGGCAAAAACTTCATTGCTTTATGTTTGCCCAGTCAGCTTTGAATTTCCTTATGAATGCTTAGACAATGGCAGTGAAAGCAGCCTATTTTGCAGGCAAAGCAGCTCTCTGTTACTGCATTCAGCAATTTACATAATAATAAAATAACACACAAACCCTGGCACTGACAAGCTTTGGGTATTTTTGTTACAGATATCCGGTCTGACCTTTTAATATATTAAGCAAAAGTTTCATACGCACCCCCATAAACTTATTAAATTAAACACATATCACGTGCTTTTGGAATTTAAGGTTATAATTACCTCAGGGAACTACAAGCAGAAATCTCTCAATTTAGTTTTGAATAGCACACGCAGGCAAAGAAAAATTATGGAATTAAAGGTTGTATTAGCTAGGCTATAATATCCTTCTAACTGCACTGAAACTCTAATTTCTTTTGCTATATTGACTCCAAACTCAAAAACATCACTAAACCTACTATCCATCAGGTTAGTCCCTCTGACTTTCTGACATCTGTAAATTTGATCAATACATAAAAATTCCCAACAAATCAGCAGATGGACTACTCAAATCTTTTCACTCAGAAAGGTCAAATTGTTAAGAAATAGCTTTTTGGACTGTAAAACAGTATCATTTTAAACTATATAGCTAACATGAACTTCATGACTACTACTTTCTTCGGTAAATCTCAAGTCTTGAATCAGTAACATCAGAAGCTTTCAGAAGACCCTAACGGGGTTCATGTAGTTTTCACAGTCAATGTCCTCATTCTTAAAAATATCTTATGCTAGATATCTATACTGGGAGATTAAACTCCATTTTTAAGCTTCCAACAAGGGAAAAACCCAAAACTTAGTGATGGAAGAGCAACAGTTTTTCTGCTTGGGCATAAAAAGTGCAAAATCATGAAAAAGAACAGCCATAGTTGCATAACTAATTTACAAAACCACTTCCTCTCTTTTTAAGACTCATTTCTATGGTGACTTACACAAGAAACCAGGTACTAAATAAACAAATCCCAAGGACACTCAGGAACATCTTTTACAACTTAATTTAGAGTAAAGGCATATGAATAAAAGAATATTTAAGGATTGTGCTTACTTCACTGTACCACTCTACCATTCAGTACGTGTGTCTCGTAACTGACTTCAGTTGGAAGTCTTGGAACAGAAGGAACCTGACCCTGTGCGGCCTTTGTACAGCAGAACTCTACTATGAGAAAAGATTCACAGCTGTTCCAGTTTTGAGACTCCCTTGCCATATGAATAGGTTAAAAAAGACCACCAAAAAAAGGGGGGATTTTATATTATTAGGCCAAAATACTGTTTTATAACTCTGAAAGCTAAATAACTAGTAGATGGTCAAATTATAACTATTGTACTGTATCATAAAAAGCATCTCGTGCTATTTTACAAAACTTTTAAAATTGTGTTCAAATACCTTCCCAGAGTAATTTTTGCTCAGACACAGGATTTTTTTATAAACATGTCATTATGTATGTGCTACTTTATAGTTCTCAGATGGTTTTGAAACCATCTGCACAATTTCCTTGCTAACAGAGATTATACAAAATTATGAGGGCAAGTTCAGCATTACATGTATAGCTACAAATAAGAAGGTGCAGTGGCAGTGTCAATAAGGTGTATATTGTGCACCTTTTTCCCCCAATTAATCTGTACTCAAGCTACAAATTATTGAGTATTTCAAATCTTTGAATAACTCGACGTTTTTTTGTCATCCTTCTGAACTTAATACACTATAATAAGTTTTCATTTTGCCCACCATAGCATAGTAAACTTACAGTATCAAGAATATTCAGCCTCACTAAAAAAAGCCTGATAATGCTATCTTAAAAAAATAAAGACAGCCTCTATAACAATATACAAAACATACTAGGAACGTCAGAATGCTGGGGTGCTAAAAGGTATTTTGGCTAAGTAATTTGTAAAGCTCACTCATACTTCTGTGTCTTGTCAAAAAGCAAAATTTCCAAACTCACAGGAATTAAAAACTTTTATCACAAAACAACATACTTCAGTTCTATCAAAAAATAACTTTCACTTCCGCAACCAGACACTGATAGTCACAAACCCACATTTTGGGTGGGTGGGTGGGTGGGGAAGGTATTGTAACCCTGCACCAGAAACACGTCAGATGTAAGTCTTTACTTCTGTATCATTTACTTTTCAATAAGACCTATACTAATACTCCCTAAACAACAGCTACCTTTTTATTAGATTTTCTGGCTCTCCCTGACCCAAACATTCGGGACACAAAAATGACCAGAGGGATGGAGCACCTCTCTTATGAGGAAAGGCTGAAAGAGCTGGCGTTGTTCAGCTCGGAGAAGAGAAGGCTGCAGGGAGACCTTATTGCGGCCTTTCAGTGCTTAAAGGGGGCTCATAAGAAAGACGCAGACAGACTTTTTAGCAGGGCCTGTTGCGGTAGGACAAGGCGTAATGGTTTTAAACTAAAAGAGATTAGATTCAGACTGGATATAAGGAAGACATTTTGTACAATGAGGGTAGTGAAACACTGGAACAGGTTGCCCAGAGAGGTGGTAGATGCCTCATCCTTGGAAACATTCAAGGCCAGGCTGGATGGGGCTCTGAGCAATCTGATCTAGTTGCAGATGTCCCTGCCAATTGCAGGGGGGATGGACTAGATGACCTTTAAAGGTCCCTTCCATCCCAAAGCATTCTATGATTCTACGATTCAACACTAAATTCTTAAAGGCGAAGATTTCTGACTTATCTTCAGAAGCCCTGCATGCTACCATACCGCAACAACCAACAGAACTTACGGCGATGATTCCAGTATGATGCTATTAGCCTGGGTGGAAGATGGAGATCTGTGATTTACAAATACTTCACTTGGGGAAGTGTGAACTACATGGTCCACTAAATGTCCAACTGATGAGGGTCGTAACCGGGCTCCTTCTTGAGTGAAGGCAGAGTTGCGACTAAGAGGGAAAGCACAACAGTGTGATGTGAAAAGAATATTATTATTCAATCTACATTTCTTACAGCACTACAAAGGAATGCTAAAATAATTATTTCCTCAGTGCAAGCATATGTTCATATACATATTTTTATTAAATGATTTAAGGTTTCAAAAATCACTGAAACAATTATGTTGTCAGATCAACATGCCGTATTTCATAATTTTCTTCTTAAAAATGTTAAAAAATATTTTCATAAGCACTAAATGGCTAATATTTTTCTTTTTTTCTCTTTTTTTTTTTTTTTTTTTAGAAGAAGCCTGAAAGCATTAGGGTCCAATGAACAGGCTACTGGAATGACAGTCCAGTCAATGAGAAGAAAAATGAATCCCCAAGAAGAAAAATCCTGGCTCTGTCCATAGCAGAACTTAACCTGAATTCATTAAGATGAACATCTTATCCCCTGCATCTTCTCCTAGAAGAATCATAAGCTTTGCACTGAGAGTCTTATCATTTCTGTGACCCCAAATTTTCCCATTTGAAAACTATCATATTGACAGACATCTTTCTTAAAATGCTTTGAAATACGCATGATTAAGTTATGTTACGCTATAAGCATCATTATTACACCATTTTTACAATAATTTTTAAATGCTACAGATATTTACAATGGGCTTCTGAATAATATGCCGCAATGCCAAAGAATCTTAAAACCTTCTGGTTTATGCAATACAAAACTGGGTAATACCAATTCTTAAGCCAGTTTCAGCATACTGAGAAAACTGGTTACTTTCCAAAAGAAATCAGGAATGATTTTTCACGAACTATAAACATAAAACAGAAAGCTTTATCATGTGAAAAGAGTGTACTTTGAAAGGAAATGCAGAAAAATTGAGGAGAATAAACCTGAAAAGCTTTCTGATTAAGTAGTTTTCCCCAATGTTTTAAGAAGCGGTATTAACCAGAATCAATTATTTCTAAAATATCACACAGACTTTATCATCAGTTTTTTTCTTAGCCAAATGAGCAATTTAGTTTTAACTGTGCTTGAGAAAACTCAAGCTCTCAAATTTAGGGTAGCATGCTCCATCTTACACTTTTTATAGGTTGAGTGAGAAGAACCTAAATTTCACCCCCAAATAGTTTCTCTTATCTGGAGCTAAATGTTCCAGAGAACCACTCGGCACACAATTTGTGAAGTTGTTTGTCTCTGTAATGCATTAATCCTTTTATTACACAAGTAGGTCACTCACATTAGAGGTAGACAGTCACTTCTAGGGAGAGAAGATTCGATGCTACTTACTGATTTGGGGTTCCAGGTGGAGACCGTGATGGTAGGCTCTGTGTTTCCAACCTATCATCAGACAGTGAGTTCCTACTCACTACTTCCCAGTCCATCCCACTTATTAATTTCCGTGCCAAGGGTTTACTGGGGGATCTAGAAGAAGAAAGTAAAATGACTAACCAAAAATTATATGAGCTAAGAACAAAATTACATAAAATTCACCACACTGAAACTGAAGTTCTATCATAGGAAACCAAATTATATGGAAGAAAGGAAATGTAATAATGCAAAACTATATTTACATGGGCAGTTCTGTATTTTCTCAATATACTGTACTTCATTTTCTGTACTTTGTACAAGAACGTCAATGAAATACAGTCATAAAATACTGTTGGCTGGGAGGGAGACAGGCAAGATGGAAAAGGAACCCACTAACTTCACTAGGCATTTCTAATGCCTCAAAGAGAATCTGACTCAAACAGAATAGTCATTGAGAGGTCTGAACTTAAAAACAAAAAAAAACCCTAAAACACGAAAGAAAACAAAAAAATCCCCCAAACCTCTAAGTAACCAACCACTCAACCATCTCAGGAAAAATAAAGCAGTGGAAACATCAGCCCAAAAAAACTCTCAAAGACTCTGAAGAACTGAAAGTGGGGTAATCATCAACATGGCAACGGAGCTACCGAGTTTTGTTTACTCATCAGAGATTTTCATCATGGTGACAGGCTTTCTTCCAGAACATGTTTTGTCACCTGTAGGGCAGATGCAATCATCCTATTTTAACTTCTTTGTGGGTAACCAAACTTCATTTGGTTTTGCGCCAGAAATGTCCTTCAGGTTAAAGGTTGTTATCACCAGTAGTTTTTATACAAAAGGAATTGTATTTTCTACTCGTTGCCCTTTCTCAATATCGAGGAAACTTTTTCTTCTCATTCTCCAGTCATCCCAGGATACCTATAATCCCCTTCTGCTGTTTCTTTCACCTATTTCTTAAGCACAAATAAGACCATACTTGCTATCTCTCATGAAATACTATGTTTCCCTTTTATACTGGAAATCATCATATGAATCATCCAAGAATTGTGGTTGCTTTTTTCTTAGCATCACATTGGATGGTTCAGTCATCCTGCGACTAAATATACCCAGACTTCTGCTGGTTTTTGTTTCCAACTGAAAACTTTTTAGCCAACAGCAAAAATTCTTTTAAACAATCTTTATATGTCCTGTGTACTTTGTGTTACTGGGTTTTTACTTTACTTCTACTACTTTGATGGTGCTATATAATTCACTTTTCTCCTCTATCATTACTCAACCCTCTCTTGTTCCAGTGACACCTCAGTTTCATCAGTCTTTTGTGCCATGATCATTTCATTCCCATTTGCATCTATATTCCATCACTATACTCTTCTCTACTCTTCAGCTTTGCAGAATGAGGTGACAACACATTATTGTATCAGCGTAACTCCTTCATTTCTTTCCCCAGCTCCATACACCTGTATTACAAAATAACTTCTGCCTTTGCTGTCCTTGGGACACATGGTAACTGTTCTTTATCTTCATCATTATCACCTTACCGACGTACTGAATGTGCAAGTCCAGAAAGAAGAAACTTTGAGAAATTAAGGAACTACCCGCACACAAATTACATCCTTCTGAAAATGAGAACCTTAGTTACAAATACATTTTTGCTTCTCACGGAACTTGAAACTCAATGCAAGCCACCACCTTAAGCAGACTGTTCTCAATATTATCAAAAAGTGTACAACAATAACCAGCCAAGCATCATATTGAATAATCTATCTTCACATGCAGAAATACATAAGTCCTATGGATGTCAACAGTGTTTGATACTAAAGGAGTGGTGATCTGTGTGTGGAGGGTTTATTTTCGTTTTTATACCCCCAAGCAGTGCTGAGCATGTATTGCATGCTGCTTTGCTGCTCTAAAGACTTACTGAATAACAGCTGACAAATTTCAGACAGTTAAGTTAGATGGGCTATTCTAAATACTACTGTATCAGGTCTTATTCCACCTGGGAAAAAATCTAATAGTATATTGATATTTATAAACAGGTAAAATATCAATTATTTAATTTCTGAGGAAAAACACATCCAGTTTCTTAGCATGCTTCACTGTATTTAAGCAGTATTAATTTGATTCAGTAAGTAATTATCTTGATATCATGTCAATTAAACCAACATTTCAGTTTCTGTAATTTGCTTCAAATGTGAGCAACTCAAACCACTTAGGTAGTTTTCTTCACAACCATAGCAAATTTGAGCAGTTCTGAACAGGTAAAATAACAAGAAACCAGCAGAACTGAAATGCATGTCTACTGTTATCCGTTCATTGTTCTTCTATTAATCAAAGCTATCATCAACTAGACTTTGCTGACAGCACGCTTGCAGCCAGCAGATTAGCACCAAGAGCCAGCTCTGCCAAGAAGTGGATTCTACTAACCAAAGAGTGGGCTGAGGGGAAAATGCAGAGGAACATAATATATCCAGTGCTAAATTAGGTAAATACAGTACTGCATATACAGTCTTTTCTGACAGACATGTAAATGCAGCTACTGAACCTTATTTACCTTCAGTGAAAAAGCAACAAGTTAAATATAGGAAAGTTGATGGTTTGTTGTTTGGTTTTTTTTTCTTTTTTTTTTTTTTTTAAATGTGCCACAACAGTGAAAGAGCACTATCCTTGCCTATATAAAACAAATTAAATTACAAAGAGAGACACAAAAGTATATCGGGAGGGGAAAAAAACAGTTTTTCCAAACATTAAATTGACTGCTTCAAAAAAAACCCCACTGCATTGTATCTCAAGTCATAGTTTGTAAGTACATTTTTGAAAACTTCCTCAATCTGTGCAAAATGAACATTACTCTAAAATAAGGAAAGCGTCACCTTCTTCCCTGTCAAAATAATCCAGTGTTAAGAAAACTCACCTTTTACTGTGGGTAGGGTCTGATCTTTCACAAATAATACCTTACTACCATGATAAACAGCTGCAGCGTTTATCAGCAAAAGTTCGTTTCAATTATTTTATTAACAGCTCTAACCTCAGAGTCCCACCCACTCATGTTTGTTGCCTCCATTTCCTGTCTTTGCAGAAATTTCAAAGAAAAAATTACCACACTGCAGCACTGAACTTCTCAGTGCTGTGGCTTTCTGATACTAGTTCTCCTGCCAACACTTCTAAATCTAACAATAAGTTACTTTTTTATTAGCATTTACCATATGTTGTGAAATATTCCTGCAAATTTCTCCTGTATCGCTAATACCTTACAATATTCAAATAACTTTCTCATGCCAGAGTGCAGCTGAGGAGATGGGAGGGGGGAAGTAAGCTGTAAAAAACTTTTGAAATGCTTTGATGAACTTTGACATTCTAAATTCCATGTTTGCCTGCTCAGTCTGGATGCTTCTATTGCACCCCAGCACAGGACACTGCTAGTTAACAGAGTAAACTATTTTCAGATTTGATTTTTGGTGTATCTGCAGAGACATTCCTAAAAAAAGTTGGAAGAAGTCCAGATAGATACATCTGGGTAGCGACAGAGACTGAAAACTTTACCTGCCCTCAAAATCCAGAACAGTCTTACGAGCTGTGATACTATGTCAAATACAAAAAACGAGTAGCAGGGATGAAATTACATAATGCAACTAAAAAAAAAAAAAAAAAAAAAAAAAAAAAAAAAAAGCATGACATATTATATTAGCTCAGCTACAGTACACAAAAGCTTTCAAAGACAGAATTTGTTGTGCGTCCCACAACTGAAGTGCTAAATTCTCACAGGAGCTGGGAAAGAAAGAGGGTATTGTTTGGGAATACAGGTGGGAATCTTTTAAATCATTTCTGTCCCAAAAAGAAATATAACCTGGAGCCACAGCCTTGCTTTGTATTTTGACAAGGAGGACAGGGAATGTGTTTCTCAGCAAAACTGGCAACTCTGCTTCAGACCAAGAGACTGAAACTGTATACAAATCTGCAGATACACCACAAACGACATGCATTTTAAAGCAACTGAGGAACTATTTAATTAACCTGAATAGATGCACGGTTGAAGCAAGATTGGATTTTTGGAAACAGAGATTGCAACTTAATGATAAGGAGTTTGCAAATACAAATGACTGAGATACCCACTCACTATCATACAATGCACATAAACTACCTTCTCTCAGCTCCAGTACACACCGTCAGAACTGAAGTAGAATATTTTGCAAGGACTCTAAGAGAGAAGAGTGCTCTTTAAGAAATCTCTCAGTTCATGACTTGATCAAACCTTTTTAACTTTTATTATCTGCTTTCACTTGTATTATGCTGCTGGGAATCCTTACGGGTTTACTTGGGTTGTGAATATCCTGCAACAAATGAGGCCAAGAGAAGAGCTGTAAGATGGGGGGGGGGGGAAATCTGAACTGCAGCAACAGTCTTCTAAATGTGGAAGTGAATGCTGCATGAAGATTAAGAAAACAGCATCTACAAAATGTATCAAATTTATTACAGACTATCTCCTTCACAGTAACAGATCCCTTTTTTTAAATTAATTTTAAATATTTTTATGATTTGGAAAAAAAAAACCCACCCATGAATACTACTTCAGCTAATTTTAAAGTCAAATCCTGAGGACAAACAGCTAAGCCTGCTAATTGTAGGTTATAACTCCTTGTTTTATTAAAATGGCTGTTAAGAAATTTTATTTTCATGTCTTGTGCTCTGTATCTATGTTCCGCTCAGTGTGCAAAGGCTAGACAGATGATCGTTACTTGTGGTAATCACCATTTCCCAATTTAGAACAAATAGATCACTCAAGTAACATCTCAATATAACTGTCAGTGTTATTTTCTTACAATGAAATGATTCAAAAGTTTGCTTAGGCAGTATTAGCTCAAATAAGGCAGTTTCTAGTTAGATATTGATGAGAACACAGAGTGTAAATCTGGATAGCTCTAGAAAAAAAAAAAATGAAAACATCTTTTTTTTTGTTTTTTAACTGATCTTGAATAGTAACAAAAGCAACAGTAATTATTTAATTTTTTTTATGTGTCCACCTAATTCTCAAGAAAGACCTGACTGTAATGCTAGCACACCCCTGGTTTCATAGCAAAAGGCAACCAATACCTAGCAGAACTTTCAAAAGCAACCGAAAGAAGCCTACTGCTTGACAGCTTAAAAAGCTGTTCAACAATACGATCACTTTGTCTGAGAAAGACACACTGAGAAAGAGAAAGGCAGGTTCCTGGAACAAAAACCACATTATATCTGTAAAATCTTAAAAAGCAAGAAAGGGCTAACATTTACTCAGTATTTTAACTTGAAATGTAAATGTTTAGAAGACAAGGAATTAAAGATAATGTTCTTAGATTAAGCTTCTTGAACCACATGGTGTTCTAAAACTGTCTTATATTTGAAGTTTTTTCACCCTTGAAAATACTAAAAGTCTTTACAATTGAAAATGCATTAACTGCACACTGTGATGGGGAGGACAGAGGAAGAAACAGATGATCTATTAAAAACCTTTCGAGGTGTGCCTGTTACAATACACCATTAATTTCAGTTCACCGTCGTATGCATATATGCCTCAGACATTTATCAGTCATTAACATTGCTAAACAACTCAAATGGTGAGGATGAATGCTGTATTCCTTAATCTAAAAACAACAGTGGAAAATAAAATTACTGAGAACAGAGAAGCCAAGTATTTTACTAACTAAAAAAGCCAAAAAAGACTTGAGAAAACATCAGAGCAATTCTAGCCATGGCTTTCAATTTTATCCAGAGCATATATTACAAAATACGAGTGACCCCAGCACCACTTGTTCAATTTTGACTCCAAGGGAAGAGTGCCATCTACTGAATAAGAGTTTCTAAAACAATAAAATATACTCCTCAAAACCAAGTATAGTCTCTCCTCCACCCTATTTACTTGTGAGGAATTGCCAAGTTCAGAATGCAAGAAGAAAAATAGTTTTTAACTGATTCGTAACTGTCGTTTAAATAAATAAAACTCAGTTGTCACGGCGTTGAGTCTTCTGAGTACTAAAAAAGCTGCCCCAAGTAAAAATCTAACCAGACTCCCAAAGTAAATTAAATAGAGTAAAAAATAACTCTACAGCACACAGAACAAATTGGTCTTATAAAAATCTACCTGTTGAACAAATACGTCGCAGCGCTTCTGCTCCCAAATCCTTGTAATATGGAGCTGGGTATCTATGGTGTGCCCAGCTAAAAACTCCCATTATATTATATTGCACAGGGGGAAAGAAGGGGCGAGTGGGCAGGAAAGCAAGGCAGAATTCACCAATGCTCAAACAGTGTTTGCAAGTACTTGAGAAAGGCTGCTGGGCTTGTTACTAAAGTCTGCGAGCATAAATTGGAACTCCAGAGTTCTTTAAGGGGTAACTATGCTAAAAGACATTCCTTATCTCAGTAAAAGTATAAGCATAAAAAAAGGCACAGAGCATGCTCTCTGCTCACAAGGATTCTTTCTATTAATGATCAGAGCAGACTGCCAAATGGATACAGCAGCAGTTTTACTTTTGAATGCTGTACCATAATTTCTGAATGAAGAACTAAATCTGTGTCTTGACTGATTTCTTGTAATCACTAAACCCCTCAGGAGTCTGAAACACAATTAAGTAAGAGATTCTATGATTAGCCAACTACTCTGTGACAGAATACCTTCAGAAGCAGCTCACTTCCAGCTCAAATTTTTCATAGTAAAATACCTCATTAGGACTATAGTGATAAAGCTGTTCTCACCAAGTAAGACACTCGCAGTACCTTATTCTAAAGGAAATGTGTGTGTACTGTTGTAGGTTGTTATCAGGGATAAAACATACCCATTAACTCAGTAATTTAATGGAATAGTTAAAGAGACCATTCTTTGCAATAAAGACAGCACAAAGAGGGCTAGTACATGTAACAGCAAACTACGCAGATTGAAGGCTATTCTGAACTTTGAAAATATATGAAGGGGGAAATATTAAAGATTCTCCCCCATTTCTGCCTGCTCCAAAGAGACACCCTCCCGTATCAAAATTAAACTCCTTAATATGGTTAAGTCAAGCCACCAGCAACAGTCGACAACAGTTGCTCTTTATTTTACAGTTTTGCAAACAGAAAACAATGATCCCATAACATCTAAAAAGATACAAACAGAAGACTTACTGATCTTGTACAAATGTAAATTGCTTACCTTGCAAATACCCTGTCTTTGTTTGCTCTTTCTTTACCATACTGCACAGACTGGACCTCTGTTCTCCCACTGGAAAACAAAACAAAACAAAACCAAACCACTAAATGCAACAAACTTAGGATAACAATTTCTTGCTTAAAACTGAACCATCTCAACAAAAAAACCCTAAATTCTATTTCCAGTCATGCTCAAGCAGTTGCGCTAGCTTCAGTACAGTGTAACTTCAGAAAGCATTTGGTAGAACTGTAGGTTGTTTTTCCCATTACAGTCCAACTGTAACAAAGACCATTAAATTTTAGGCATAATATAAAGCTTTCTCTTCTCTTCCTTTTTCTTCTTATCCAAAGCAATAAGAAAGTTCTGCATGGATCTTTGGATAACACGTAACACTATAATCTTTCCTGTTATAGCCACAACCAAAAGTTACTGCATCTCCTCTGTACTCCTCCTAAACTATTCCCTGAATTGCCAATAACTTAGTCACTACTTAGTTCAGCAAAATATCATGAAGAAATTAGATGGTAAGCACATCAGGACTGTATTCTTCTACATAACTTGTCAAAACCAAGATTAGATCTTAGAACTTGCTGACTTTTCATATAAGAGCAGATGTCTTGTGTCAAATCAAAGATCCTTTATAATATTTCATAATTTCTGTTGTAGAAAAAAAACCCAAATTTTTTTGGAGTGTCTATCAGCAGTTAAGAATTGATGGCAACATACCAGCAAAACTCCCTCTTGCAGCCACTTCCCCATTTATAACCTCCTACCAAGGCACAGAATCAGAGCATACATGTCCTAAAAGGATACTGATACTTAAAACTCTGCTGTTTTCTGTCCCTTACAGGGACATTTACACTATAAAATCAAAGAACAATTAGCTATTTTCACATTCACATTACAGAACTACTGGACGTGTGAAGGCTGGAGAAATGGGCCAACTGGAATCTCACAAAATTCAGTGAAGGGAAATGCAGAGATCCACACCTGGGGAGGAATAGCCCCATGCTGAGGGCTAACTGGCTGGAAAGCATGTTTGCTCAACACTGGTGTGACCACATCTGGAGTGCTGTGTCGAGTTAAAGGGTCCCCCAAGTCAAGCAAAGACCCACAAAGACAATTAAGGGTTTGGATCATCTAACATATGAAAAGAGGCTGAGAGAGCTGGGACTGTTCAGCCTCAGGAAGAGAAGGCTCAAGGAGGATCAAATGAGTGCATATAAATGCCTGAAGGTGGAAGTAAAAAATACAGCCTCTTCTCAAGGGAGCCCAGAGACAGGACAAGAGGCAATCTAACACTGGATCAGGTTGCTCAGAAATGGTGCAGAGTCTCCATCCTTGGAGATGTTCAAAACCTGTCAGGACATGGTCCCAGGCAACCTGCTACAGTGGACACTGTTTGAACAGGCCATCGGACTAGGCAGTGTCCAGAGCTGCCTTCTAACCTCTGCCATGCTGCGATTCTAAGAAATCTCTTTTCAAACCTGCTGCCTGCTAACTTCCTGGAGTTATACGTTTTTAACTCTGACAAGCAGTAAGCCATCTATACTTTCCTCTACTCCTTTCCAATAACTCTAACATTGTATTTGCCTTCCTCTAACTGCTACTAATAATTGATTTAACATTTTCAGAGAACTACAAAGCTCCAAGACAGTAATAGCTTATTTATAATTTATGTTCCTCCTCTTTTCTCTCCCTGTGTAGATTATTTTGAATTTTTGGACACTGAACTTGATCTACCATTTTATTGCCTACTTACGCCTTATTGCAACATACCACTGCAACTTTCTACAGTCAACTTCAGCTTTTACTACAAAAACCTCTATCACTTCAGTGGTAACTTCCCTTCATTGTGAAGAAGGGACCTGTTTCCCATCTGGTTAAAAAAATTGCTAATATACAATAAAACTCTTCATGTTTTGGCAGTTTAACTTCTTTGAGTATTTGGTGAGGAATACTATTAGAACCACTTTGAAAATCCAAGGACAGTGTACAGAAGTCAGATTTTCTCATCAGTAGTCTTCCTGGAAGCTTTTTTTTTTTCTTCTTTTTTTTTTTTTTTGGCGCTTTAAAATTTGCTGCATTAGAATCTTTTAGTCCAACAGAAATAATAGATTACGTAACACATTTAATAGTTCAACAATTTCATGTCTCTGATTTCTTTCAGAACTGGAGATAATTCTGTCTAGCCCTGGCAGCTTAGTATTTTATTAGTTTGTTTTAATCATAGAAATGTTGGCTAGAAGTCTCTAGTCCAATCTCCTGCTAACACTAGGTCATGTCTGGCCATGGCTTTGTCTAGCCAAGTTTTGAAAGCCTCCAAAAATAAAGATCCCACAACCTCTCTGGGTAGCTTGTTCCAGTAATGCACTATCCTCCTAGAAAAACAAAACACCAAAAACTTGCCCAGCTAGAATCTTCAAGGTGAAATTTGTGACTGTTGCCCCTTGTTCTATCACCTGCCATTACCAGCACAAGTTTGGCTCCATCATTTCTGACACTGCCCTTGAAGTAGCTTTAGGCTTGCAACTGAATTCCCCCTTAGCTTCTTCCTCACCAGATTAAACAAGCCCAGTGACCTTAACCTCTCCTTGTGTGCCATGTTACTATTATGCTGCCTCTAAACAATCTCTCAAACTACTTGGAGAAATTCTAGCCTTTTGGCTGCTTCATTAACTTTAATGACCTTCTTCATCTTTATGCAGTTTCCCTTTTCATCTTACATTAACATAAGTTGAATGTCATCATCAAAGAGCTATGCTGTAATGGTAACCACAATGATTCAAATTCAAAACCTTTACAGAAATGAAAAAGCTCCCCCAAATTCACTACAACAACATTGAACCAAATCTCAAACACTGTTCAGGATCACAGAATGCTGTTTCTCAAATGGGTGCTGTGAATGCTGGTCAAAAAAAACAGATGGTATAAAAATTTAGCCACTTAATTACCTTCCTCTTTATACATTTATGTAATTCACAAGTGTAACAGAAATAGCCTGTTATTGTGTTTTCTAGCTTTTCATTATCTCCCTTTGTACGTCACAGACACTGTTGCCATTCTAGATGGATGATTAGTAGTAGCTCCATTATTCTGTACTTCAGGCATGATTTAAACCATCAGAATTCTGCATTACTTGCAGAGACAGTTAACTCAGTTACTTAACTGAGAATTTTTTTTTAATAAAAAGCATAAAACACTTTAAAATCCAACACCACCCACTCCATCATTAGAACAGAAATTATACTCAGGGATTACAGTTATTCCACAGTCATTCTTTGCACCTCCAAGCTTTCTGCCTATTATGTCAAGTTCATCCTTAAAAGTTATGGACTTAATTTCATCCTTATTTTCTAAACTTCTGGTTTTGGTGCAGAACACATATCTTTTGTCTTCACCTAGCTGCCTATTTGTATGCATCTAGCTTAAGTGGGCTTTACTAGTACAAGCTTCTTTTCATTGATTTCTATTTGATCTATATTTAGGTCTGTTTTGTTGCTGTTGCTGCACACAAGATCTGAGATCTATCAGTTTTCAAAAATACCAGGCCAAAGACTTTGAAGTTCTGAGACAACATTTTTAAGATAAACATAACCCAGCAGGTAAGCCGGCGAAGAAATGCAGCCTGTGAGACAATCTCACAGTACTAGCTCAATAATGACGGCTAATAATCAATAATTATATTTCCAAGATACCCTAGAAAATTACTGACAACATTTGAAATTTAGGTCAACAGGGGAGGGGAACAGTTGCAGGATTCAAAAGCTACTTGAATTATGGCACCTTTTAATATAGATTCTAAATAATTCCCTATGTTTATTGCCGAGTTGCCTGTTCTCTTATGTTCTTTCCCATATATTTCAAATCAGCACTTACCAGTACCGGAACTTGGAACCCAAAGTGAAATAATGTGCAAAAAAGTTCTTCTGAGGGGGAAGTGGTCTGTCCAAGCGGAAGAATGTGTGATGTTCAACGCAAGCTTTCCACAAATTCTTACATGCTCGGTAATTCACCATATTGAATCCCAGTAACGTTTCTCTAGATTCATGCTAAAAATGAGAAAAATTTATTTCAGATAAAGTATTCCCAGTTACTTTTGAAATTAAGATAAATACTGTTAGCTTTGTTTTTTTGGTTTTGGTGTTTTGTTTTTTTTTTTTGAAATTACGCTTTTTGAAGTGGTTCTCTAATTTTACATTGGCTTTATGTATTATAAACCCTTTTAAAATACCTCTATGTTTTCTTTAAAGGAGTTTTTTTTTTCTTGTTTTGTTTAAATGACCCTGCTCAAAGGTTAACAGTCTGTTTAGGGATATTGAAACAAGGCTAGATGGGAAAAAATCGTCCCAAAAGGTAGGACCCAAACTACATTAAAAGATTTCCACGATTCAAGAACTCAAAGGCAACATGCCTTCCTGTTTCAAGATTACTACAGTTAAGACGAGGAACTGTCATGCACATGTGCCAATCAGAGATTGGTAACAGGTACTGATCTCAAGAGCAACTGATGTGCCTACTTTTAAATAATTAATTAGGTTCCTGGTAAAGGAAAGAAGCAAAAGAAGCAAAATTGCAAAGCAAGCTAAGCTATTCTGCCCATTGAGGGAGCTTGATTACAACCTTTGTAGGTCAGAAAACATCATCAGCACTGTGCTTTCTCTTCACAGTACTAACTCCTCCACAGCATTTAGCACACCTTAATTGTTTTCACTTAGCCGTAAACTTCTTTTCCAAGTTAAGCTTTTGCTGGCCTGCTCATCTTTAGATCTGCTGAGATATCAGGGCATAGACCTGAAACTCTTCTCCCAGTGTTGTATTTGGGAAGTCGTTGTGACTAACGGCTAAGAACACCACTGTTATTTTCAGCCACATAATGAATTTAGGATAAAGAATAAAATGGGTTTAAAAAGTAAACAGCAAATTCTGAGTATCTATTGATGAAATTCAAGAAATTATATGCAAGAAACGAAAACCTGATCTTTTACTTCAATTTACAAAAATTACGTATATCTCTTTTCTTAATTTCCAAGTACTGCCAACCGTTCCCTGTGTTTTCTAGACATGTTAACAGAAGTACTTAACAATTAAAAGTTACAAACAAGGCATCTAAAATTAAGTCCATTACCTATTCAGTTAAAAAAGGCTTTATCAACAACGTAAATGTACAATAATATAAACAAGATACATTATTATTCTGCAAGGGAATAACCATGTAAAATTATGGACTGCCTCATCTGGATCCAGTAAAGGATGAACCAGCTAAGATTTTAGATTCCAACAAAAAGTTCTCATGATGTAGCACATTTTAATGCTCTGTCAGCCCTTTACACTGTTGGAAAGGAGAATTTGACAAGTTATAGGAGTTGATGATCATGCGTTTTCATGTCACTCAAAGCATTATAATTATGGGTTGGGGAAAAAAAAAATATGCTGCTGTTTCCCCTAGTTTGTATTCCAGAGAATGAGCTGATCTGATTCTCATGCCACCATCTGATCACTAGATCAGGCATGAAGCATGAAGGAGGAGCTGGTACGATGAGAAGGAGCTGCAGCTAGATCGGCTTAATTGTAATGCGAAACAGCACTTTCACAGGAACTTGGTGTGTCAGAGCTTTAAAGGTACCTTAACAATAGTTCTATTCATGGCTTTTAAGGTTTTCATTGCAGTGCAGAGAGAACTGATTCTCAAACTCTACCCTTGATCTCAATTACAGCCAGGAACCAATCTTTAAGGTAAAGAACAGTATAAGATATTGGCTCCTAAGTGCACCCATCCTTTTCCTATCCACCCTTGCAGGTTCTGTAATATCTAAACCTAAGTTGGGCACTTGAAATTCATCTTTGCCTATGATTCTGGGGTGCAAGCCCTGGTTCTATACTGCTCTCTGGTAGCTGGATTTAGAATACGATTGCCCCTGTTTTCCCTGAAAATAGTAGGTTTGAATCAATGTGGGCTCAGCATAAGATCCCAAGGCAACATTTATAATGTCCATGGTACTTCAGCCAAAAGCACATAAAATAACAGGACAATTATACTGCAGCCTATGAGAACGCTCTTACAGCACAAGGCTCCAGGAAGATGCTGAATGCTCTATGGTATGACAACGACATAGAGGTATTTCAGGGTTTTAGGTCTGTTGAGACAGTGTTAGAAGACTACCTCAGGGAGTCACAGTTGGATTCTGCTCTGAAATTACTATCTTACTAATTGTGTCCATGGTTCCTATTAGAGAGAGGAAAACGGTCTGCTTGCTACAGAGCGGGAGAAGAGTGAAGCAGCTGGAATGCAATACCAGTGGGCCCAAGTGTGGAACTACAGGTAAGTCAAATACCACCATGTAAGTTAATATAAATCATCACCTTACAAATGTACACCATGTGGCAGGCTACCTACAGAATCCAAGAAGAAACACTGGAGGGACAGGGCAAAGTAAAGGCTAAGTCATGTCTGTGGTTCCTTTTATTAAAGGGACAAAAAAAACAACAAAAAAGCAGAACGCACATTGGTGCGCCTCACATACCACAGCTCAGCCCTTGAACATTCACCTTGGGTGAGGACATTCATTCAAACCCACCTTTGCCTGATTTGAAACAGGGACTTCAGAGCAGATCTCTTGCGTCTCAGGAGAGAAACTGGGTTGAAAAACGTATTCTCTAGTGGGTCTCTTTCACTTTGCCCAAACAAAGAAAAATCCCAGAACAAAGCAAAAATTCCCTACCCCCATCTCTGAGAGAGACAGAAAGACTTGCCCTTTATAAGTGGCAAGATTTTCCAGAGACTCAAGATATTCCACAAATAGTGGACAAAAGTCCTGTGGAAGCTTAAATGCAACAGAGATTGTCCCAACAGTATCTGCTCTTCACGCAAAAACCCAACAGCAGAAACTTCAGTAGGATTAGGCAACAATCAACTATGCATCTAATGAATGCCAGTGTTACTTAAGATCAAGTATGTACTTGGGAAGATAAGCCCATATATCACCTTGTGATTCTAGCCTAAGTTCTTTCTAAAAGTCAATAAGAAGAAAAAATTCAAAGCACAAACTTCAGATACATAATCGATAATTAAAAAACAAACAAAAAAATCATTTTGGCCACGCACTGAAACCAGGTCTTGGTCATGGACAAAACTAATGATATTGTTTTGTTACAGACTCAAGTAATTTTTCAGTGGACATCTGGGCTCTAAAAGAGCAAAAGAACATGCTGAACAGCTTATTTGGCTGTTGAAGAATCAAGACCACTGAAGTATGCTGGACAGCTTTAAGAGTTTGATGCTGACTATTGACATTACAACAGCCAACTAACTAAAAAGAGAGAAGCTTAAGGAAACATCTAAAAAAATGAAACTACTGAATTATTCTCAAACAGCTTCAAAGCCTGTAAGGGAAGCAGCATATGGAACAGGCAGAATAAACAAAAAGATGGTGAAAAAAACTGCCATTGAAGTTATGGCTCAGGAGGCTTCTAATGTCGGATGAAGAAGCCACAGATATAACATTCTTTTCCTCCCACAAAATCATAAAGAAACAATGGAAAAAAAATATACTCCAGTGGATGTGTGCTCCAGCTATATAATTGTCAGAATACACAACCAGCTTCCATTTAAGATTATAATACTCTACCAGTTGAAAATGACTTTGACATTAAACTGCTTCATCTGACTTCCTTTAAGTGATTTATTTAAACACAGATATAATCTATTAAAAGTAGGCAAATAATTCTTTACTTATGGTGATGCCTCTAAGCAATGCTAAGTCAGGGAATAAATTTAATAGGTGATTAAGAGATAAGGCGCTTGCACTTTTGAGGACAGTTGCAATTAAAAGCTCTCAACACTCATTAGCAGTATTTGAAAAATATTAGGACTTGAAAAGTATTATTAAAATATTAGAATTTGAAAAGCGTTAGGACTACTTAAAAGCATATGTAGCCCAGTTTGGGAAAAAAATACCACCACTGGAAAACTCCTCTTCCAAGTCCACTGATTTAATATCCTATAGCATCTCAGCTTTGCATCACAATAAACATGGTTTCTCAGCTGTACAATTTGTTATATATTTACACACAACTTTGAAACACATCATCAGCATACCATGAATGTATTTTCACTGCCATATCGTAAATTGGTGCTTTTGAATATACACTCAAAGCACTGGACCAGAGGTATTTTACATACCAAATGTGCAATCACTGAGTCACTTCACCTACTTTCTGCTGCTTAAAAAGAGCCGTTTAGGCTCCCTTTACTGTTAATGGGAGTGAAAGCAAAAGTAAGCATATAGCACCAGAGAGCAACTTAATCCATCCTAAAATGTACTTCACATTCACTTTTCACCCTTTGTACGTGTCTGGTTACTACAGAGGAAGTCTAATGATTAGTTAATTATCATGAAACAGAAAATATGTTCTTTCTTAACTGAAGCTGAATATAGGTGGGATCAATCTTATCCTACAAGTCTACTCAGGGAAAGTAACTCTGGAAGTAACAATTTTAATATTAGGTTTGATTAAAAAATTAGTTTAAGTATGCCTTCTTTGGAAGCCAAATTTGAGCTTTGATCTTAAGATATTCATGACTTGGAATGAATTAAAATTAAGTCCTTGCCATCAGTTTTCATCTGATACATAGAGTTTAAAGAAAAATAGTACAAGGCTTTTTAATTTGTTGGCTTGGATAAGATGCCTCAGAAGAGAAATTACATTAGTTACATATACTACATTCTGGTGCAAGTAACAATATGCAGAGTATTAAAAAGCAACAGAAAAAACAAGATGAGAAAGGTATCTTTATATTACCTTCAATTACATACAGAATTTTTTTCTGCAGAAAATACAGAAAACACTCAAGTACAGTGCCCTATCTGATTTTATATCTAGCTGTATCAATCTTCAAGGTCCTGAACTCTGCTACTACAGCCTTTTCCTCAGGTTCTGATTTAGAAAACAACTGCAGTTCATCATTTCTGAATTCCAAATAAAAACCCAAATTCTCATCTCAGATCTAAATACAACATTTCTGCAACTGTAATGGAAGTTACACACACTGATATCACGACAAAATTTGACCTCTGGGCTGTCAGAGATCAGTTTGCCTTTGAGAACTAGCCTATAGCTCCCGCAGGGTATTAAGAAATACCTGTGTCACCACAATGAAGCCTATCCCCCCCGCCCCCGCCTTTTTGTATCACTACCATTTTCCTGCTCATGTTGCATGATGTCTGCTCATGTTGACAGATACTCCCATTTATTTCATCTAATAGCCAAAGTTCATTTCTTTCTACACAGTTATTCCAAAATCCTCTGACTCTTGTTACCCCAATTCTGAACTGACAGCTACTCATGCTGCTCCAAGCACACGGGTTAAACTTCTCATACCAAGTAGTACACAACAAAGTGTCTGCATGTGGTCAGGTAGTTCCATTTGTGAGAACTGCAGGCTCCTGCGCCTCATTTTAAAGGATCTGCTTTTAAGATATACAGTTGGACTCCTGTTTTCAGTACTAGTCACCAGCCATTGGCCTGATCTGACATAACAGAAGTTTCCTCCTTACATTTTTCTTGTTTAACCATATTGTCTCTAAATCTGGAATAGTCCTATAGTAGTCAGGATGCATTTCTGCCTAGAATCCATCTTTTTTATCTAGTCAGTAACTCTGCATTTCAGATCTTCAAATTCTTTCAGCTGGAAGAACTGCACAAAACCTTTTAACTGATCTGATGAGTTAATCACATAGTCATATTTTTAATTAATTCCTCCATCTTTCCCCAGTGATATGTCTGTGATGGGTTTAAGACTGTAATCTCTTGGAGGCATGGAACAATCCATTTCTTGCCGAATTAAATGTGTAGTGGTCCTGTGGTGCTTCACAGGGTAGCAAACACAAACCACAAGCAGCGAAATATACACATTCTTCACAAAAAGCTTCAACTTTTTCCCCAACAAATTTAGAAGTAGGCATAAAAAATTACCATATGTAATTTAAAACTGCAAAGAAATTCTTATCTCTTCTGTTTAAATATAATAAAGCCAACTTGTATTACTAGATCTGAATAATACAAATTGGCATGTTTTAATCAAACATTTACTTACAAGCACATACACAACTAGAAGCAGCATTAAGTATTACCTTTAATTTTAATTTGGTTTCTTCTAAAATTTAAATTGAACATTAATTTACTTTCAACCTTTTCAACATTCGTATTATATAAGCAAGTTCCATTTCCTGCATACAAATGTAAAACTAAACGTATCTAAAATATAAGGCAAATCAAATGAAAAAACAAGTCTTATAAAGCATTGTAATGGCCCATTTCAGAACTAAAATAGCCAGAATGCTGGTGAAACTGAACTTTTAATTGCAGATAAAGGCAAGAATCAACATAATATCAGTCAGTATAAAGCAGATGTGCAGGATGGAGAAATTTCATTGCTCCCATTTTTTGAGATGAAATTTAAGACAGGACTTACCAATTCTTTCCGAAGTTGAATAAAAAACTGTTTGCACTTAAAAGAAATTTTTACAATCTTCAACCTAAATGAGAAATAAAAATCACAATATTTAAACACTTGGTATAGTGAATCATCGTTAAAGGCTTAAATACACCTACTGAAAATACACTTTCTAGAGAGAACAGATTTCATTTCATTTCCACGAAATTTCCATAGACAAAAAAATAAGATATCAAAGATTATACAAAATAGCTTGTATAATTTGAAATTTATGAGCCATATATTTAACTTATCTATGAAATTCACTTGTTTCCATCCTAAACCCAAGGCAGTTGCTAATTTAACTATCTTTTCCCAGCTCCAAAGTCCAAAGAGATATTCTATCCCCAGGTCATTCCAACCAGAGGTTCTCTTTTCTGAGACCGCTTTCATTATCCCTTAGAATATGAAAAAATACTTTGAACTTCACCTGATTCCTGAAAGACATTATTCCTCTATGTTCTTACATGTCTTTAAATATAATCAGAACTTGTTTTAGTAAAATAGCTCAGACAAGATATAAGCATGGAGATAAGGACTTGCGATCTTGGTATTTATAAAGTTAAAAAACAAAATCATCACACTCTGAGGAGGAAAAACATTTAAAATATCACGACAGGGAAAAAAATCAGCCTACAGATCTTTTCGTCTTGCAGGTTATCTATAAACATAAGAGATGCTGACAGTAATTCCAGGGTATTTTGGATGGTCGCTGTAATGCTAGTTACGCTAAATGGGAAAAGACAGGCCATATTTCCATGACAATCTAATTATATACTTTTTCTAAGAAAAGCAATATTAGGATAGTGCACATCCTTTACTAAATATACAGGAGTATTATTTCAGTCAAGAATAAAAGCAAGGTTACAATTGTAACAAGAAAAAACATACTAACTTTTGTGACTTTGAAAAGGAACAACTGATATGATGCTGCAAACTGCAGAACACTACATTCAAATGCCATCTCACTCAAAGGAGATTTTGCTGACAATTGTCATGAAACTCAAAGCAAAAGAGAATCTAGATCACACAGTAAACTTGTGGGAAATTACATAGCAAACTCTTCAGGGGTTACAATCAACATTTTACACAGCATGTTTATACGGAGCACCCTAACTAACCTGAACTGTTATCTCTGAGCGTCCCTGTACTTCAAGTTATTCTATTGACTTGATAAAGCTACAAAAGAAAGAAAGAAAAAAAAAACCAACAACCAACAAAAACACACCCATGTCAGTGAAGACAGTGCTACAATTTTTGAGATACACTTATTCATGAAGAACATACAGGGACCTCAACTGGAATTACTACTTGCATATTAATCACCTTGTTAAATAAAAAACCCTCTAGACTAGGAAGGATGAGAAGCAAAACATTAACAGACACCTAAGTTGGATATCTATATATAGAAATTATCTTCTTAACTAAATCAAATGGAGACATTTTTCTCCAGGGGATTATTCCGAGCACGAACCTAACTTGGATGTCCTAATTTGTTGAGAGAGTTTCTATCTCTGACACCATAAAGGTAGTCTGTGAATATTAGCCTTTAAATTATGCTTATTTAAACCTTTTCCCGTTTTTTTTTTCTTTCCTAGCTTTACCATTAATTAAAAAAAAAAAAAAAAAGAGCAGCAGCTATAACTTTGTCCCCCCCCTTTTTTTTTCAATTCTTAACAAATTGTTGCTAATGAAATTAGTTTCTCAAGGATTAGAAACTAAAAAGGGGGCTACAGCTTATCTACCGAAATCAAATTATTCCACTGGCAATGTAGCAATTTTCTTAGCACCTCCTGTGACAAACAATTGCTTAAGAATAATTAGGGGTGGGTCCTAAATTTGCTGGATGGGATAGACACCAGTGATTATAGCAGTCTGACTATGGAAAGAAAACATAAAAAAAGTTTTATTAGACTACTTAGGCTACAGTTAATCAGAAGTGTATTGTGATTAATTTTCTAAAATTTTGGGGTACAGGGCAATTAAAAGAACATTTTAATATATACCTTTTCTAAAAACTGAACTGCACACACTCTACAACATATCAGATTTGCTTTGCATGCCAACAGAAAACCTGAAAATAAACCAAAAGTATTCTATTTATAAAAACATTCTACTGCTTTTTACTCTTGTTTTTCCCTTTTCTGCTAAAGAACTTACTGCCTTCGGTGATTTACAGACGCAAGGAGAATAATAAGGATGAAAGCTATACACACTGCTTTTTTAATCTGACCCCATAATTTAGGCAGACTGAGGTCAGCTGCCTTTTAAGCCTGAAACCATTTGGAACAGACTCAAAATTATAACAACAAGGTCTAACTCAACCCATAAGAGTCACCATTTAAGTACAAATAAATGACTCGGCAAAGCCGAGTCTCAGCTACTTTCAGAAAAATACAGCAGATAAGAGAGAGTTCATATGCACTGCTCATACTCTGCTAGTCATTAAATAAGAATATCCATACTCGGCCAAAGCCAAAGGCATGTCTGCCTATGTTTCCTTTGTCTGACTGTTGGCAATGGTGCCTATCCAAGGATAAGGGTAAGAACAGGCAGGCATCAATAATATTTTCCCAGTATGATTTTCCAGTCTCCAGTTATCTTAGACATCCTAAATCATAAGATATATCTTTTAAAGTGATATTTAAAAGTCCTAGTCTATAGCAAAGACTGTACTCAAACACGTGGAAGGAGTCTCATGATATCAAGCCCTGGTTCTAAGGACTTCACCACCCCAGCCCTTGCTGGGAGGGTGGTGAGGCAGGACACAAGCAACCCAGCAAATTTCTCAACCAAGACTTCTTTGACACAGGTTCTGGACCTGTCAGCTAAGGAAGGTGCTCTTGGTAGCACAACTCGCAAACAAGGAAGGATTGTGCAGATTTAGTAGTCAGAGGCAAACTTGGGTCCAGCAGCTGTGAGGTGGTGAAGCTAAAGATCCTGAGGGAAGTGAGGAGAGAAGCAGCAGACTAAACAACTCTGGAGTTCAGGAGAAGAAACTTGAGCTTGCTCAGAGCTCTGGTAGGCAAAATCCCTTGGAAGCTGCCTTTTGGGGCACAGGAACTGAGGAGAGGTGGCCAATCTTAAAGGACAATCTTCTGAATCCAGAATAATCCTGATGTGCTAGAAAACATGCAAGCATGGGAAGAGGCCAACTTGGATGAATTCGGAACTGCTAACCGAGCTCAAACACAAAAGGAAGTGTTCAGGATGTGGAAGCAGGATCAGATGATGCAGGAGGAACACAGAAGTTCTACCTACGCATTCAGGGATAAAACTAGGAAAGCCAAAGTGCAACTGCAGTTCCAACTCGCAATGGATACGAAAGGCAAAAAGGCTTTCTAGGGGTACGTTGACCGCAAAAGAGAGGCAAAGGAAAGCATGTCTCCACTGCTGAGCAGGTGATCTAGTAACAAAGGAAAGGCTGAGGTACTCCATGCTCTTCTCCTTTGGTCTTCAAGGGCAAGATCTACTCCCTGGATTCCCAGGTCTCTGTGCCTGGTAGCACCATTTGGGGAAAAGAGAAACTACCCACAATATAGGAAGATCAAGTTAGGAAACACCAGATAAAAGGCAGTCTCCTTTGTTTTTCCTTATTTCTGTCTTCTCTTCCTCCTGTTTCATTTCTCCCCATGATCATAAGGAATGCAATATGCGTTTATTTCTTCCCACATATATGCATGTCTAGCCTCTCACTTGTCTCAAAACTCAGCTCAGGAGTACTGAAAAAAGGATATCTAAACATTCACTGTAGCCATAAAGCACTGGGAAGACATTACACAGCTCCAGCTGCACAGGAGCAAGAATAAGTAGAAGCAAGAAGAATAAGTATCAGGACCGGTGTCGCTGGAGCAGCTGCATGAGTATGGATAAAAAGGAAAGGTAATAGGTCTACTATTGAGCTATATTGTGAGAACTGACATTTCAGACCCTTACTCATAGCAAAAGAAAGCCTGTAATAGGACAAAATGGGGAGGGGTATGCGAGGGAAGGATGTTTTTTTTTCTATAAAGACCAATTATGTTGGCACTATAGTCTTCACAGGAAGAAATTAATATCCCTGATGTCAGCTGATATGGTTGAATACAAAGAAGAACTGTTTAGGTAATTACATACACACAAAAACCACACTAAGAACTTAGATCAGCATCCCTGGCATGCAAACAATATGAAGCAGAGCTCACAGAAACCTCTAGCTTCCAGTAGGGACGTGTAGCATAATTATGACTTACATTGTGCATACTCAGTAATTTACTGGCGTGTTTTACAGAACCTATTTCTACTACTACTGTTTTCCCAAAAAAAAAACCAAAAAAGCCTGAATTAAAACCTTTCTGATTATTACAGCATCGCATTTATAAAGCAGCCTTAATCCAGAAATGGCTCTAACACTTCAAAACTCTTACCAGATGAAGGATATCTTTCTTAGAATGTGTCACTATTAGAAAGGTAGGTCTTGCTGACTAGTACAGTAGTTCCAGACTTATTATTACAAGATCCAGTTTTAATTTACCCAACTAACAATGGAGACTGAAAATTTGCATGCTCTGTAATTGCCTCAGGCTTACTTTTCTTGGAATGCTTACAGGCAAAATGTTTACCTTGTTCAGCTGTAACCAGCTGTGGATAACACTTATGTCATACCTTGTCTTTTTTTTCTGTCTCCAAAAATCTACTAAAATTTGACCATTCACACTGTTTCTCAACATGGTAAACCACATAACATTCTACAACAAAACTTGAGACTAAGGTTAGCACAGAAAACCAGAACATCTCAGAAATTCACCGGATTGCAGGAAAGATCGAGACTGTGATTAACATCTCGAATCTCTGCAAGGAAACTTACTAAATGAGAACAGGTCACTGATTATAGGTAATGGATCTTACGCTGTGCTAAAAGAAAACAACAAAAAAACCAAGGATATCAACTGCCCATATCAGTTTGAATGCAGAGAAAAGTTTTTCCAGTTTCAATTGTGGTAATCAATTTAATCTGTTTATATGAAGTTGACAGTCCAGCCAAGAACTTTAGAAAAGTCCCATGCTGCATTGCCCAAGCACACAAATCAGCAGCAAATGAAAATGCAAAACTTTTTTCACCATTTTTCTAGAGCAAACAGCTTTTCTGCCTGGTAAACTAATGTCTATTATGATAATTTTATATGGCTGACTTCGCCCACTCAGAATGCTGTTATAGCATATTCAACGACGTGTAATAAGAAAGGCTGTCAAAGTGGATTCCAAGCAGGCAAAGGGAAAGTTACTTCTGAGGGAACTAAAAAAAGCGTTGGGGAAGGTGACATAACTTCTGTAGAGCACTTCTATAGAGCACTATAGAAGTTATAGTGCAGAACAGGATTTCTCTTAGATTTTCCCCCTTCATATACGAATAAATAAGAACAGGATCCCAAGAAGACTGATAACTAGAGTAACATATTTAATGAGGATAACTATGTTTACAAAACAGCTTTAAAAACTATTATAGTTAAGAGGAGAAATAAATGACAGCGTTTTCTGCAATAAATGCACTTTTTTGATCCTTATAATGAAAATGGTTATCTATGGATGAAGAGATGACAATATCCCAAATGCCCCACCTCAGTTATCCTCAAGTGCCATATCTACATAAAATTGAACACACACAGTGCAATTAAATTATACGTGACAAAACAGATACAAGCAATCACTCTCCACGTTAATATTTTTAAGTTCAGTGGTCTCTTTAAAGACTGTGAGCTAGACCATAACACTGGCCCTGGCTCTATAGTTAATTAAAAGCTTACAAACTACTGAAGAAAAAAACGTATTAAAATTCATTATAGTTTGCACCACAATCATTTAACAGCACAGCATGCAGAACAGGACAAAACCCCATCATAAAATTACCCATAGCACAGCATGAGGTAAATCATTTCCACTTGATGTGCTACAACTAAGTTTCAGTCTTTTTTTAAAGCATGGGAACCAGGTAGTGGTAAAAATATGTTTTGAGATACCAAATAAAAACATTAGCTTAAACAGCTGTCCTTACCACTGAAAGGTGTTAATTCGTATTCTGTTCTTAAAAATTAGTATTCCACCTGACATCACTCCAATCATTATTTCATTATTACTCTGATCCTTTAAAAGAAAAGAGAAAATTACTTGAAGAACAATATAAATATCTTTGAAACCTCATACATATTCATTCTCATCTCTCTCTCTAGATACACAAATGCCATAGTAAAATAGATCTCAATTAACATGGAAGGAAATGTGTTTTAATAAGGCAAGTAAGAATTGAATTATTCATTCCTACTCAGGACAAGCCCGAATGTTTGCTCCGACTTCTTTATAAGCTACCACAGAATTTTAATGTCTTAAGTTAGATCTTCCATCTTCCACCAGCTTCAAAGAAATACACAATATTGGGTATTCTAGCAGTTTATTACGAATAACAGCACTAGTAGACTGGCTTGACATTTGCTACACTAAAAGCAACCAACAACTTAAATTCCTACCTGGAAGGAAATTGCAATCTCAGAATAGAGAGAGGAGAGATTCTAAAACAAACAATATCGTAAGCATATTTAAATAGCACATTTTTCCTGAAATATCTTTGCACTCTAAGCAAACACCTGCTATAGGTCTTTCAATATGTGTGCAACAACAGCAGGATACAGAGAGCAGTGAAGTGGGATACGTTTCAAATTCTATTGCAAGTTTCTCTAATCTTAGGGAGTAGGACAAGAATATTTAAAAAACAGAGGTGTCTTAGTTACTAAAAATAATTCTGTTCAGAGGCTTTGCAGAAATGGTAGCACTGTACTGACAGGTTAAGATCATTTGAGTCAAGACCTCAAGCTACTTGCTGTACCAGATAGAACTGACACTGTATCAAATTATAGTATGCTCACCTTACATTAACAGTTCATATTATATAATTGTAATGATTTACAATTTGGTTCTAATTGGAACCTTAAATATCAAAAGCACATTCAACACATACATTTTTCTTATTCACCAGTAGCCCACTGAACTGGCAGTCAGGCCAACAAGGCTCAATCTGAACACCACATGTATAACCAAGCCCAAATTTAAGCAAAGAAATACCCTCACTAGAGTGAAATAGTAGCTATTGAAACTGGTAAATCACAGTTAGGCACCTAATAAAATAATATTATTTTCATTTTTTTCCTCTTGTAAGCAGCAGCCAGGAAGGCTCACTAAAAATAAATATTTATTTTTCCATAAATCTCAGAGGAATCCATTTTTACTTTACAATACTAGTTCATCCAAACTTACCCTTGCATAGTGCAATTCAACGCCATAAAGTTCTAAGGTACGTGCTGTATTGAGATAATTGAACTCTGCCTCTGCAGGAGACAACCCTCTGAAAGAAAGAAGCTAAATCAGAAACATTCTGACATAACCCCTCACATCAGGTCAGGCTCCCTAGTGAGCTAAACCAGAAAATCTGCATTTGTTTTACTACTTCTGCCCCCACACTGAAATCTGTATTTGCTTTCTCACTATAAACAGACTGTAACCCAAAAATTTTAACAGAAAAACACTTGTGCTTCCACATAGACAAAGACTTGACAAGAGTCCACAACACAGCTTGCAAATGCACACGTTTTATTTCTAAAGCACTGTATCATTTAAATGTCTGTGGAGCTCTAGAACCTGGAAATTACTTTTGCAGTCCTATATTTTGTATTGATAACAGCAATTTCTCTCCAAGACTCACCCAGAAAGTCTAAATTATCAACTCACTTTAATTTCTTTACCCTACCTAATAGAATTTGCTAAGCCATTGACTGAAATGTAACACAACATTCAGTAGTTTCTAAACCCAACAACACGCCCCAATTAAGCAAATGCTTTTGTAAACATAGCTTACATTTTGTTAAATTTAACTGTAACATAAAGCACTGAAGTTCTAAAATACCAAGGAACCATCACTGAAAAAGTACCACAATGTTACACACTGGAAAAAAAAAATATTTTCCATTGCTTCATCGCCTTTTCCTCTTTAGTAAAAGGTCACAGACTCACACGCAGGAAAGAGCAGATATTGAAGAAAAGGACTTTGTTACTTCTAAAGTAACTCTTGTTTACTGGTGAGAGCACCATGAAAACAAAGCCTTTACGCACCAAGCATTAAAATTATATCCTGCTAAGTTAATATCCTATGCAATACACACAAATACTGTTTTCAGTTTAACATGTTAATTTTTTCACTTATTTTCCCTGTCATTCTGTCATAGATATTCTGTCTGCACAGAGTATCAATGGTACTTATTATACTTATTATACAGACAACCTACAAAAAAAAAAATCACATTAAACGTACTCTTAAAAAAAAACAAAACAACAAAAAACCCCAGAAACCTTTAAGACAAAATACTCGTTTTTTATATAATAGCACAGCACCAGCAGTCAGGATTTGACAAACTCAGTCAATATCTTCTGCTGTAAATCCTTACATGTGCTGCTGATGTAATTTTGCTATTTCTTTTTCAAAGTCTTGAGGCTGGCTAGGGATGAAAGAATAGTCTGAGAGGTAGCCTGGCAAGTTTTCTGAATGGTTGTAGTCTCCCAGCTCGGCTAAAATATTAAAAAGAGAGGTTATTGTTTATCACTGATGTACCTGGCATTGTGCAATGCCCCCAAATTCACAAGAGCCTGCTCCCACATACCTTATGATCTACAGCAAACAAAAATAGAGAAGACATTTGAACTCCCCTTTTCCCTTTAGAATAAACAGTCACATTCTCAGTGAATACCATGGAGATCATGTAAAGACAGCTTTGAGTAGGTACTGATGAAGGAAGTTTATAAAGTGTTTAATTTTTAATACACAAGTTAGTTCATAAATACTGTCATAATGGCTAGCACTAAATAAGATACTTCAAGGTATTTGATTTTTTTTCTTTTTTTTATTTTACCTTTACTTGCTTTCATGTTATTACACAATATATATAATTTTAACACTACAATTGCTATTTCTTCATTAAGATCTGCAAAAACTACCAACTCATTCTGTATCAAGATATATTCAGAAGCATTAGAAAAATATTTTTTTGTACATTCAATTGTATGTATGGGAAAAAAGTACTCATACATACACCTACATTGAAACTACTGTACTTGAAACTACTAAAAAGTGCATTCAAATAATTTCTAACACCTTCTTAAAATTATATGAAATAAATTAAAGTCACATTTATTATCAGAATAAAAAACATACAAACAACAACATTTGCTAAAAATACAGGCTTTCTAACCATAATCCAAAAAAAAAAATCAGCTTTCAATATCTGCAATCCATGTACCAAATCTGCAGTGATAGACAAGTAACCTAACATGTGAAAACCGGAAAGTTCACAGCAACACAGCATGACGTGGGGGCTTGGGCAGGCCTACTGACACTTTTATGGGGCATGGAAGAAATGACAAGAGGGATGAAGCGGAGCAGGAGGGGAAGGGAAGGGGAGGTAGGAAAGAAGTCTGGGGCACTTGAATCACCAGAAAAAGATCCTATTGTAAATAATTTAAAAATTGAAAAATGGGACCAGGTTTCATAACAGAATGCATGCCTTGCTAAAATCCACTACAGAGAACTGTCCGAGATCTACGTCTGCTACCTACCTATATTTATAAAGAATCCCAAGAGCTAAACCCAGAAGGAGTTTAGTAGTAGGCATACACAGAAAATCATTAGACAGAGGTCTGCACACTGAAGAACTTAAGGGCAGCAGGATCTCATATATAAATGTAACTACAATGCACTGCACATCCCGCCACTTCTACAATATTTGAAAAATAAACATATTGCATTCTTAAAAGCTTAAAATGTCATGAACTGTTCATAATGCCTGCTTCATTATCAAGTACTTCATCTCTTCTAAGGCAAATCCCTAAGGCATGACAGCACTTGCAATACATATCTATTTCCAAGCAGCCGGAGTTTGGCAGTTTTGTTTAAGAGAAATTGCTCTATCGATTGATCTGGAAAAAGGTAACCACTTATCAAAACTATGCATAAAACGTTACATTAACATTACTATGTGTTTTTTCCCTGAAAAGACTAACATGGACACTATTTCTCTGATATGTACAAACTATACATAGTACTAAATGTAGATAAAAGTATCTTTAATAGCAGAAAAACACATGAATATAGATGGACACATCAGGATTGCTTATAAAACTGAATTTCTGACAATCACAAACTTCAAGAACAGTCTCCTAGTTGGTTGTTTGTTGTCTTTGGCTTTTTTTTCCCCCACTGAACAATTTAAGTTTATGAAGGAAAATGGGGAGAGAGGAAGAGGACTAAATCTCAGTCTCCAAGACCAATCTACTCACTAGATGGCTTAAAATTGACAACACAGGTGTTGAACTTTTTGGTCAAATATAACCAGAATTCCCTTTTCCACACCAATTTGGAGGTTCACTGTATGGTATGTTAAAAATGTTTAAGTGCCTAAATATGCTTTAGTATAATTCTCAAGAAAAAAACCAACCCCACACTTCAGAGTACAGAGAAATACAAGAGGGTTGTTTTGGGGGTTTTTCACCGCACGGGTTTAAAGAAGGAAAGCAGAGAGTGTTACCAGTATTTTTTCCATATCTAATTCAGCAAAACACGCTGGGGGAGAAAAACCAACCAACCATATTTCCTTAACCATGAGAAAAGTAGCATCACGTCCACAAACATCATGATATAATGCTATACAAACTACATTTTTTAGAAACTAATCAATACTGCTTTTTATATATTTCAGTACTAACATGTACATGAATACTAATTATACTTACATTGAACAGCATAGGAAGCCAGAAGAGCAGCAGTATTATAAGGACAGGGCAATCTGTTTTGTTTTGTTTTTAAAATGAGAAACAAATAAAATTACATATGTCATATGAAATTTGGTTATTTTAAAAAGCCTAATCTTTCATAATATATGAACAAATTGGACAGATAATTATTATAAACACTTCTACTTGCATAAACAGTAATTTATTTTAAATATATTTTTATTTTGCAGGTAAAATCCCTCACCATTAACTTCTTCTGAACCAACATTGCATTTAATGTTTAACACAACAAAAATGTCTTACCTTCCAGTAAGAATGTCCTGTTTAATTTGCAAAAAATACTGGTACCTTATTTAGAGAAAAAAACAAAAACAAACAAACAAAACACACTATAATTAAAAATAAAATTATTTACCATTTTTCATCAATTTAATGCATTTTGCTTTCAGTTAGTGAAAAACTAAAACTTTACATTTTGCATGCTATTTCTTAAACTCCTATGAGAAAGAAATTAAACTGTGATTAGTAAAATAATAATACAACTTTGTAAATTAAACTAGTTACAGGCTATGAAGTTATATGATATATTTCACTAAAAGGCTGCAAATTTCATTCTACCCGATTTACTTTCCAGTATTTATGTTGAACTTAAAGTTCAAAAAAAGGAAAAACAAGTGCCTTCATGATGAATGAGTGTGAACAATAAAACTATATAATATGGCAACCAAAAGCTGAAGTTTGCATCTGTGTATGGAGGTACCTAAATAAGGATGATTTGTACTCCAGGTAGATAAAATTAATTTATTCTCATTGAGTATTTGATATTACTCTGTTTTCATTTAAATTAAAAGAATTACTCTTAGTATTTTGGAGTTACATTCTTAAACAAAAGTTGTGGATTCTATTATGTCAAACGCCTTCCAACTGACTTCCCTTGGACTTCTGAAGTTTTCTTTAATTACGATGTGAGAAAAGCTTGTTTTAGAAACTCGTCTAGTCTTCCCATGCCCACTCTTTCAAGTCAGGAAGGAGAAGGAAACAGCAAAAGGAACAGATGAACACTTTTAAACAAGAAGTATTTCCCACCAAACAGTGGCAGCACAAACACTATGACTTAAAAACCCCAACAAACCCAAAACTGCAAACAGATTTCCCTCTAAATTACTTCCTTTGTTTCTCCAACAAAACCCAAATATTATGTTAACGTCTCGGAATGAACCTTTTGTTCTTTCAATTTAGTTCCTTCATATTTCACTCAAAGGTTTTAGACAATTTCAAAGAAGTACAAATGTTTACATCGAGTGGCAAAGCACACCTGCCATAAACCTCCACTGACACCGAGATTGAAGTGGGGTAACAAATGAGACTTACTGAGATGGCAGGATGTTAGCACAAGCTTGAATTTTCAGCAAAAACCCCTTCTAATAGGGCATAAAAGCAGCTGCAGAATTTAAACTCTAATGCCTTTTTATTTAAAACAAAAGTTTCACTGAGTCGAAACTTTAAATGTC